TTTTTAATTTGCTTGTGTTTTCTCTAGAGCGTTCTTGTCAGACAGAGCGTTCTTGTCCAGATAGACAGACAGCGAAACTATTATTATAGACGAGAAAAATGGCCCGTTGAGGAAGGGTACAACGGGCGCTAGGCTGATAGTGCTGTCTCTTTTCTCTAAACTAAAACCAACCCACCCCCCACACACCCCACCCCCCCCCACCCCCCACCCCCCACACACCACCCCCACCCCCACACACCACCCCACCCCTCACCCCCCACACACCACCCCCTCCACACACCGCCCCCCCACCCCCCACCCCCCCCCCCCCCCAAAAACATGTCTACCGTCCCATTCAACGAAATATAATTATATACTTTTTCCAGTGTCCGCCCCCCTCCCAGAAAATTCTACCCCCGCCCCCGAAAATTTCAAGTACCCCCACCCCTCTCCGGGGAGGAAAAAGTCTGAAAGAAACACTGAAACCAACCCCCCCCCCCCCACACACACCCCCCCCACCCCCCCACACACACCCCCCCCCCCACACCCACCCCTCCCCACCCCTCCCCACCCCTCCACCACCCCCCACCCCCAAAAAAAACATGTCTACCGTCCCATTCAACGAAATATAATTATATACTTTTTCCAGTGTCCGCCCCCTCCCAGAAAATTCTACCCCCCGCCCCCGAAAATTTCAAGTACCCCCCCACCCCTCTCCGGGGAGGAAAAAGTCTGAAAGAAACACTGAAACCAACCCACCCCCCACACACCACCCCCACCCCCCACACCACACCACCCCCCACCCCCCCCCCCCACACACACCACCCCCCCCCACCCCTCCACCACCCCCCACCCCCAAAAAAAAAACATGTCTACCGTCCCATTCAACGAAATATAATTATATACTTTTTCCAGTGTCCGCCCCCTCCCCAGAAAATTCTACCCCCGCCCCCGAAAATTTCAAGTACCCCCACCCCTCTCCGGGGAGGAAAAAGTCTGAAAGAAACACTGAAACCAACCCACCCCCCACACCACCCCCCACCCCCTTACCCCCCACCCCCCCCCCCCCCACCCCTCCCCCCCCCCAAAAAAAAAACATGTCTACCGTCCCATTGCAAGAAAACCACTTTTTAGATTAGACACATTAATTAGGCGGTAATTTTATTATAGAGTATCGATGAGGAAATTTCTTTTGAGTTGGGGAGGGGGGGGGGGCTCAGACGTTCTTACGCGGGGGGTGGGGCTTCGCCCCTACCCCGAAGAATTGTATGCAAGAAACTCTTCACGCAAACCATTTAGATTAGACAACATTTCCTTTTTTTCAATGTTTACGCGAGAATCAATGACGTCATTACATTACTGTGTGCACTCTCTGGTTTGAGATTATGTTCTACTCTACGCTAAATGTGTCGACGTCATATTTCGTTTTTCGAATTACTGTGCATGTTTTTTAAATTGCTTGTGTTTTCTCTAGAGCGTTCTTGTCAGACAGAGCGTTCTTGTCAGACAGAGCGTTCTTGTCAGACAGACAGCGAAACTATTATTATAGACAGAGCGTTCTTGTCAGACAGAGCGTTCTTGTCAGACAGACAGCGAAACTATTATTATAGATAATATTAAATATTAATGTGGCCATTTCCTTCAAAAAAAGGGAGATAACCAGTAAAAAACTTAGAAACAATATTTAGCACTAGTTACGTTACATGTGGTTTTATAGGCCTATATGTTTATTTAGCAAAATAAATAAATAAATAAATAAATAAATAAAACAGGCCTAAAAGGCTTTTCACTGCTTAATTATTATTTTAATTATTTTTTTCGGCTGATTATTTCCCCTAGATACATTCCTACTGCTAGACCAACATAATATCTGCCAACTGTACAAAAAAAAAAAAAAAAAAAAAAAAAAGAATAATTAAAGCGTCCGCGATCTAAAATATTAACAGAAAAATGTCAAAGTTAGGTAGATCTAGATCTAGATTTAGAGACCAACTGATCACTTTGTAAAATCTATTAGAATCATAAGAAGGTTCTATTAAATTTTTGTTTAAAAAATTACATTTTAAACATTGTTATGAGCCGTTATACTTTCTGAAAATTCCCCTCCCTCTCACAAATCTATGCCCTGAGATTAGTTATATAAATCATGTCATGGTTAGTCGTCCCCCCCCTTCTCTCCCCCCCCCCCCCCACCTATGGGTCCAGTGTTTCTTCCAGACTTTTTTCTCACTTGAAATTTTTGGGGGGGAGGCGGTAGACTTTCTTCGGGGGGGGGGCGGACACTGTTAAAAGTATATATTTTCTATATAAATTATATAAATTTCATTTCTTTCGGGGGGGGGGGGGGCTGGAAGAAACTCTGTATGGGTCTTGTGTGTTCAACTCTGAGAAGCCCTGTGCTAGTTATTGGTTACTCGCCTTTTCCCAGCCAAATTTCCCAAGGTAAATTAAAATTTCGAAATCGGATCGTTGTACATAAACAAACAATGGAAATACGTGTCATGCACACATGTTGAAGGACCTAGTTACACTTAGGAACAATGAGCTTGCATATATGAAATGAAAGTTAATGGCTAACCAAAACAATTTTAAGACAATAATGTTTATCCTGTTTATATTTATTTTAAGTATTTCGTCAGTATTAGGCGATATAGATGGTTTGTATTCAACTGAGGATGACGTTCTTTCGTTGAATAACGAAACATTCAACCAAGTGATGGAAAGTAAACAAGGCATTGTGTGGGTTGTGGAGTTTTATAACAGCTGGTGTGGTCATTGCATACATTTTGCACCAACATGGAAAAAACTAGCCACCGAAATGAAAGGTAGGCCTAACATTATGTGACATGGTCATGAGTTTTTAAATGCTAGATTCCAAGAAATAATCTAGATTCTACCAATTTTTTATTTTAGTAGATCTAGATTTAGATCTAGATCTATATTAAAATTATTAAGTAGGCCTATAGGCCTAGTATTAATAATTTGAATCATCATTTAGACTCTTAGAGAATCTAGATCTAGATCTAGTATTAGTAGTAGCCAGTCTAGCGACTAGAAGGGTGAACGGAAAAAAAGTCACAGGAAAGAAAAACACAGAAAAAAAGTCACAGTTTTTGCTAGGAAAAAAAGTCACAATGGAAAAATTTTATTGGAAAAAAAGTCACAGAAATAAAGTCACAGAAAAAAGTCACAAAAATCTTCTTAGAAATATTTTGATTTATTTGTTAAGAATTGTAAAATTGGTATGTTTATTGTTGTGGGTTGTATTTTTTAATAGCATAAATTATTTATAGACATTAAAAGTTAAAAGCATTATGGTTTATAAAAATTTTAAGTAAAAATACTCTAAGATAATTTACACAACAATCTCAACTTTTGTTATGTATTTAGTTAAATACGCAGTAGATAAGTTAACTATAAAAGAAATTTAGTCACATCATTGTGTTTTGCATATGTTTCGCCGTAGGCTATTCTCTGGTCGGCCTCCCCTCAGTAGGCATTGTCTGAACATATTTTGTGTTGTTGACATTTTGTATCAATGACAGCCTTTGAACCTTGTCGGCTCTCTGTTTTGATCCTAAGTTTTGTTATGTAATGATCGTGATAAATGTGGGCAGTAAAGGTGGTTGAACTAAGCATAACTATTGTTGCGATGAGTTGAGGGCAGTAATTCAGATGACCTTACCATTTTACGGTAATTTAATTAAAAAAAAAACACGATGAAAACCGTGGACATTCTATTAAATGCTTTAAATATTATGTTTAACATAATTACAATCTACATAATTCATACTAAATATTTTTAGGTGAATTTTAAAATTACTATGTGTATACAGCCTACACACATTACATTACATTTAATTAATCCTAAGTTAATTTGCATTCTCTGAATATTTAATACATAAAAGTATTAACAAATTCCATGCAAATATATATTTGTGACTTTTTTTCCTGTGACTTTTTTTCCTGTGACTTTTTTTCTGTGTTTTTTTTTCCTGTTTTTTTTTCCTGTGACTTTTTTTCCTACAATCGACTAGAAGTACTACTAGTAGATTGATGTCCCTGTGAAAACCATGGTTAAGGGGTTATTCTTAAAATAAATATAGGATCATGACTAAAACTTTTTTGGATGATTTTTACCTTCCCTCTACACACAGTCAAGCATCACAAACAGCCAGACCCCCACCCCTCCCAAAAAAAATAACATCACATCTCAGCCTACAATGCCCCTCAAAATTGCAGTTTAATTTTTAAAATTTATTCTTTATTGAATATAGAATGAGCTTGTGTCATATTAAGTAGTTTAATACTATCAATAGATTTGTATTACAATTTACAAAAACAGTTTCCTAAAATGCTAAATAATAACGGCTAAAATTCAGTTCCTAACATTACTTTTTTGAAATGCAAAAGTGTGAAGTCACATAAACAATCCCCCCCCCCCCCCATCACAAAATTATAGACCCCCCACTCCCCCTCCCTAGAAGTGTGATATCATTTATAAAAAACACAAAATTTAATAAAACTGCCTGTAGGCCTACTTGATTTAACAATGACATTTTTTGCGAAGATGTCCATTAAACTAAAATAAAATTTAACCACACCTGAATTTTAACATGTCATTGATTGAAATTTAACTTTAGACACTACCTAAGTTGCAGCTTAGAAGTTTTTTTTTATTATTGTTAGCTGTATTTGACATAATTTATTATTATTAAGTTAATTAGTTATTAACCTTAGATATTAAACTTAATGGGACAGCTGAACTTTTCTAGCGGCCCAGGATTTCATAGCCAAAATAGTGGGAGGCTGATCCATTAGTTTTATAGTTAACCAGCATGCTCGTCCCGCATGTTGCCGCAGGGTTAGAAAAAAGTCAGAGAATAACCCGGGGCAAATCGCACCCTGATTCAGTTTATTGAACGACTATAATACTACTTCTTATCCATATTCTATCACACTCTTTGAAATGAACGCATGCTGACAGAGGAGCCTGGGTGCTTCAGGTCATGCAAAAGTAGTATTTCTTACCTGCTATGCACGACACACGATTAACAGATACCAAGTGCTTAGATAGCCTCTCTGGAACTCTGGGCGCCAAATCGTGTATTGACAAAAATCACACCCTCCTGGGTGCCGCCCATAAGAAATTTAAATATTTTTGTGTGTGCAGAAACCTTCTCGAGAGTATTCTCATCAACTCCCCAAAGTTTCAAGGCACTTGGATGAAAGGGGTCGAACCACAATTGACTTTTATTTTTATATTGTGTATATAGAGAAGAATCATATCGCGCTCTTGCAGGGGCGCATCCCCTGCAAATTTGAAAAAACAAATTCCGCAGACACCTCCAAAGACAGGCGTATTCTCAACAACTTCCCAAAGTTTTGTGCGGATCGGATGAAAGGTGTAGTAATGCATAACAGACAGACATACATTGCTTTAAAAATAGTCCTGATATAAATAATTTAATATTAATAATGTAGCCTAGCATCTCTTGAGGATACTGAGTTAAAATTACCTCTTGACTCCACAAAGCCATACATGTAACATAAGTAATGAAAACATTGAGACAAGGTTGAACACAAGAACCATGAACAAAAATGAAACGTCTTTTATCAGTAGCTTGCCAGATTTTTAGTTTCACTTTTTCATGAAGGTTTTTAAACTGAACACAGTTACAGTACAGTATCAGTTTGTCTTAAGTTTGTAGCCAGTTACCTAGTGCTTTATTCAATTGTTATGTGGTGCTATGTGGTGTGCTTCAAACCAGTGTCAGTTGTTGTGGTGCTATGTGGTGTACTTCAAACCAGTGTCAGTTGTTGTGGTGTACTTCAAACCAGTGTCAGTTGTTGTGGTGTACTTCAAACCAGTGTCAGTTGTTGTGGTGCTATGTGGTGTACTTCAAACCAGTGTCAGTTGTTGTGGTGCTATGTGGTGTACTTCAAACCAGTGTCAGTTGTTGTGATGTACTTCAAACCAGTGTCAGTTGTTGTGGTGTACTTCAAACCAGTGTCCAATATTAAAACAATATGAAACATGTCAAATGTTGACATGTTAGGTCTGTATGACAGTCTTGATGCATGAGAACTCAGCTATGTAAGATAATGTATATAAGACCTTACATTTCAGAATAATTATGAAAGTTTTAGTAAGGGTTAGAGTGATACTGTGGCTAACCATTTAAAAAATAACTGAATGAGAAGGTTCTGTCAGAAAACCAATTAAAGGTTTCCTGTTGTTTAAATACTTTCTCTTCTCATTGTTCTCCACACTATAAAAATGTGTTCAGCTATTTTTTCTTCTGTCCTTGTCACAAAGAAAATGTATAAAGAACTTGACCTACTTATAATGACTTGAAAAACCTCCATTTCAATTGCACAACAGTATAGTGGGCTCAATGTGTCAAGAAAACTGCTGTCAAGCTGTTTTATTAGGTCACTAAGGGTTGTTTTGTCAACAATAGTCTCAAGTAGGGATAATTCAGCCATGAGAGAGTCAAGATGGTCTAAAGTAGTTGTAATTCAGTTATCAGGCTGTTTAAATATAGTCTAAAGTAGACATAATTCAGCTATCACAGTATCAGCCTGTCAAAATACAAACAATCTTATGTAGACATAAGTCAGACTGTCAGAAACAGTCAAAATACAATCTAATGTAGATATACTTTGGCCATGAGACTGACCACACTGACCCTTGTTTGATTCCTACACCAGATTGGGGGGACATCATTGTGATAGCTGCAATTGACTGCTCACAACAAAAAAATCTGGGCACATGTCGAAGCTTTGGCATTGATGGTTATCCCACTATACTGGTAAGTTCAAACCTATTACTTAGTTTCTTTATTGATTTTTATCTTAACGTTTAACACACACTCTTCATGTATGAGAAGATCAATATTTCATTACAAATTTATATACATCTAATTAAAAGTAAATAAAGGGCTAATCGTTTTGAGTTTAACAGCAAGCTTAGATGTGAGCTACATGATTGAGTGGTTAGAGCAAGATCTTTGATGATCTATAGGACTATGACATGTCTATGACCAGCTATGACAATTCATGAATCTGTTTGCAGATTTTCCCGCCAGTTTTCAACTCGTCCAGAAAAAGTCTGGCGTATGAAATCAAGTCAACTAACTTGCCTCCAATCAAAGAGGAGATTCTCAAAGTCTTGACCCAGTACCCCACAGATTCCTGGCCCCATCTAGAACCTCTGATGTAAGTACCCCATAGGTCTCTGGCCCCATCTAGAACCTCTGATGTAAGTACCCCAAAGATTCCTGGCCCCACCTAGAACCTCTGATGTAAGTACCCCACAGATTCCTGGCCCCATCTAGAACCTCTAATGTAAGTACCCCACAGATTCCTGGCCCCATCTAGAACCTCTGATGTAAGTACCCCACAGGCCCCATCTAGAACCTCTGATGTAAGTACACCACAGGCCCCATCTAGAACCTCTGATGTAAATACCCCACAGGCCCCATCTAGAACCTCTGATGTAAGTACCCCACAGATTCCTGGCCCCACCTAGAACCTCTGATGTAAGTACCCCACAGATTCCTGGCCCCATCTAGAACCTCTAATGTAAGTACCCCACAGGTCCCATCTAGAACCTCTGATGTAAGTACCCCACAGATTCCTGGCCCCATCTAGAACCTCTGATGTAAGTACCCCACAGATTCCTGGCCCCATCTAGAACCTCTAATGTAAGTACCCCACAGGTCCCTGGCCCCATCTAGAACCTCTGATGTAAGTACCCCACAGGTCCCATCTAGAACCTCTGATGTAAGTACCCCACAGGCCCCATCTAGAACCTCTGATGTAAGTACCCCACAGATTCCTGGCCCCATCTAGAACCTCTGATGTAAGTACCCTACAGGTCCTATCTAGAACCTCTGATGTAAATACCCCACAGGCCCCATCTAGAACCTCTGATGTAAGTACCCCACAGGTCCCATCTAGAACCTCTGATGTAAGTACCCCACAGGCCCCATCTAGAACCTCTGATGTAAGTACCCCACAGGTCCCATCTAGAACCTCTGATGTAAGTACCCCACAGGCCCCATCTAGAACCTCTGATGTAAGTACCCCACAGGTCCCATCTAGAACCTCTGATGTAAGTACCCCACAGGTCCCTGGCCCCATCTAGAACCTCTGATGTAAGTACCCCACAGATTCCTGGCCCCATCTAGAACCTCTGATGTAAGTACCCCACAGGCCCCATCTAGAACCTCTGATGTAAGTACCCCACAGGCCCATCTAGAACCTCTGATGTAAGTACCCCACAGGTCCCTGGCCCCATCTAGAACCTCTGATGTAAGTACCCCACAGGCCCCATCTAGAACCTCTGATGTAAGTACCCCACAGGTCCCATCTAGAACCTCTGATGTAAGTACCCCACAGGTCCCTGGCCCCATCTAGAACCTCTGATGTAAGTACCCCACAGGCCCCATCTAGAACCTCTGATGTAAGTACCCCACAGGTCCCATCTAGAACCTCTGATGTAAGTACCCCACAGGTCCCTGGCCCCACCTAGAACCTCTGATGTAAGTACCCCACAGGTCCCATCTAGAACCTCTGATGTAAGTACCCCACAGGTCCCTGGCCCCATCTAGAACCTCTAATGTAAGTACCCCACAGGTCCCATCTAGAACCTCTGATGTAAGTACCCCACAGGCCCCATCTAGAACCTCTGATGTAAGTACCCCACAGGTCCCTGGCCCCATCTAGAACCTCTGATGTAAGTACCCCACAGTTCCCATCTAGAACCTCTGATGTAAGTACCCCACAGGTCCCTGGCCCCATCTAGAACCTCTGATGTAAGTACCCCACAGGTCCCATCTAGAACCTCTGATGTAAGTACCCCACAGGCCCCATCTAGAACCTCTGATGTAAGTACCCCACAGGTCCCTGGCCCCATCTAGAACCTCCGATGTAAGTACCCCACAGGTCCCATCTAGAACCTCTGATGTAAGTACCCCACAGGCCCCATCTAGAACCTCTGATGTAAGTACCCCATAGGTCCCATCTAGAACCTATGATGTAAGTACCCCACAGGCCCCATCTAGAACCTCTGATGTAAGTACCCCACAGGTCCCATCTAGAACCTCTGATGTAAGTACCCCACAGGTCCCTGGCCCCATCTAGAACCTCTGATGTAAGTACCCCACAGATTCCTGGCCCCATCTAGAACCTCTGATGTAAGTACCCCACAGGTCCCATCTAGAACCTCTGATGTAAGTACCCCACAGGTCCCTGGCCCCATCTAGAACCTCTGATGTAAGTACCCCACAGGCCCCATCTAGAACCTCTGATGTAAGTACCCCACAGGTCCCATCTAGAACCTCTGATGTAAGTACCCCACAGGCCCCATCTAGAACCTTTGATGTAAGTACCCCACAGGCCCCATCTAGAACCTCTGATGTAAGTACCCCACAGGTCCCATCTAGAACCTCTGATGTAAGTACCCCACAGGCCCCATCTAGAACCTCTGATGTAAGTACCCCACAGGTCCCATCTAGAACCTCTGATGTAAGTACCCCACAGGTCCCTGGCCCCATCTAGAACCTCTGATGTAAGTACCCCACAGGCCCCATCTAGAACCTCTGATGTAAGTACCCCACAGGCCCCATCTAGAACCTCTGATGTAAGTACCCCACAGGTCCCTGGCCCCATCTAGAACCTCTGATGTAAATACCCCACAGGTCCCTGGCCCCATCTAGAACCTCTGATGTAAGTACCCCACAGGCCCCATCTAGAACCTCTGATGTAAGTACCCCACAGGTCCCATCTAGAACCTCTGATGTAAGTACCCCACAGGTCCCTGGCCCCATCTAGAACCTCTGATGTAAGTACCCCACAGGCCCCATCTAGAACCTCTGATGTAAGTACCCCACAGGTCCCTGGCCCCATCTAGAACCTCTGATGTAAGTACCCCACAGGTCCCATCTAGAACCTCTGATGTAAGTACCCCACAGGCCCCACCTAGAACCTCTGATGTAAATACCCCACAGGCCCCATCTAGAACCTCTGATGTAAGTACCCCACAGGCCCCATCTAGAACCTCTGATGTAAGTACCCCACAGGTCCCATCTAGAACCTCTGATGTAAGTACCCCACAGATTCCTGGCCCCATCTAGAACCTCTGATGTAAGTACCCCACAGGTCCCTGGCCCCATCTAGAACCTCTGATGTAAGTACCCCACAGTTCCCATCTAGAACCTCTGATGTAAGTACCCCACAGGCCCCATCTAGAACCTCTGATGTAAGTACCCCACAGGTCCCATCTAGAACCTCTGATGTAAGTACCCCACAGGTCCCATCTAGAACCTCTGATGTAAGTACCCCACAGGTCCCATCTAGAACCTCTGATGTAAGTACCCCACAGGTCCCACCTAGAACCTCTGATGTAAGTACCCCACAGGTCCCATCTAGAACCTCTGATGTAAGTACCCCACAGGCCCCATCTAGAACCTCTGATGTAAGTACCCCACAGGTCCCACCTAGAACCTCTGATGTAAGTACCCCACAGGTCCCATCTAGAACCTCTGATGTAAGTACCCCACAGGTCCCATCTAGAACCTCTGATGTAAGTACCCCACAGGCCCCATCTAGAACCTCTGATGTAAGTACCCCACAGATTCCTGGCCCCATCTAGAACCTCTGATGTAAGTACCCCACAGGTCCCATCTAGAACCTCTGATGTAAGTACCCCACAGGTCCCATCTAGAACCTCTGATGTAAGTACCCCACAGGCCCCATCTAGAACCTCTGATGTAAGTACCCCACAGGTCCCATCTAGAACCTCTGATGTAAGTACCCCACAGGTCCCATCTAGAACCTCTGATGTAAGTACCCCACAGGTCCCATCTAGAACCTCTGATGTAAGTACCCCACAGGTCCCACCTAGAACCTCTGATGTAAGTACCCCACAGGTCCCATCTAGAACCTCTGATGTAAGTACCCCACAGGCCCCATCTAGAACCTCTGATGTAAGTACCCCACAGGTCCCACCTAGAACCTCTGATGTAAGTACCCCACAGGTCCCATCTAGAACCTCTGATGTAAGTACCCCACAGGTCCCATCTAGAACCTCTGATGTAAGTACCCCACAGGCCCCATCTAGAACCTCTGATGTAAGTACCCCACAGATTCCTGGCCCCATCTAGAACCTCTGATGTAAGTACCCCACAGGTCCCATCTAGAACCTCTGATGTAAGTACCCCACAGGTCCCATCTAGAACCTCTGATGTAAGTACCCCACAGGCCCCATCTAGAACCTCTGATGTAAGTACCCCACAGATTCCTGGCCCCATCTAGAACCTCTGATGTAAGTACCCCACAGTTCCCATCTAGAACCTCTGATGTAAGTACCCCACAGGCCCCATCTAGAACCTCTGATGTAAGTACCCCACAGGTCCCATCTAGAACCTCTGATGTAAGTACCCCACAGGCCCCATCTAGAACCTCTGATGTAAGTACCCCACAGGCCCCATCTAGAACCTCTAATGTAAGTACCCCACAGGTCCCATCTAGAACCTCTGATGTAAGTACCCCACAGGCCCCATCTAGAACCTCTGATGTAAGTACCCCACAGATTCCTGGCCCCATCTAGAACCTCTGATGTAAGTACCCCACAGGTCCCATCTAGAACCTCTGATGTAAGTACCCCACAGGCCCCATCTAGAACCTCTGATGTAAGTACCCCACAGATTCCTGGCCCCATCTAGAACCTCTGATGTAAGTACCCCACAGGTCCCATCTGGAACCTCTGATGTAAGTACCCCACAGGCCCCATCTAGAACCTCTGATGTAAGTACCCCACAGTTCCCATCTAGAACCTCTGATGTAAGTACCCCACAGATTCCTGGCCCCATCTAGAACCTCTGATGTAAGTACCCCACAGGTCCCATCTGGAACCTCTGATGTAAGTACCCCACAGGCCCCATCTAGAACCTCTGATGTAAGTACCCCACAGGTCCCATCTAGAACCTCTGATGTAAGTACCCCACAGGTCCCTGGCCCCTTCTAGAACCTCTGATGTAAGTACCCCACAGTTCCCATCTAGAACCTCTGATGTAAGTACCCCACAGATTCCTGGCCCCATCTAGAACCTCTAATGTAAGTACCCCACAGGTCCCATCTAGAACCTCTGATGTAAGTACCCCACAGGCCCCATCTAGAACCTCTGATGTAAGTACCCCACAGTTCCCATCTAGAACCTCTGATGTAAGTACCCCACAGATTCCTGGCCCCATCTAGAACCTCTGATGTAAGTACCCCACAGGTCCCATCTAGAACCTCTGATGTAAGTACCCCACAGTTCCCATCTAGAACCTCTGATGTAAGTACCCCACAGATTCCTGGCCCCATCTAGAACCTCTAATGTAAGTACCCCACAGGTCCCATCTAGAACCTCTGATGTAAGTACCCCACAGGCCCCATCTAGAACCTCTGATGTAAGTACCCCACAGTTCCCATCTAGAACCTCTGATGTAAGTACCCCACAGATTCCTGGCCCCATCTAGAACCTCTGATGTAAGTACCCCACAGGTCCCATCTGGAACCTCTGATGTAAGTACCCCACAGGCCCCATCTAGAACCTCTGATGTAAGTACCCCACAGTTCCCATCTAGAACCTCTGATGTAAGTACCCCACAGGTCCCTGGCCCCATCTAGAACCTCTGATGTAAGTACCCCACAGGCCCCATCTAGAACCTCTGATGTAAGTACCGAACAGGTCCCATCTAGAACCTCTGATGTAAGTACCCCACAGGTCCCATCTAGAACCTCTGATGTAAGTACCCCACAGGTCCCATCTAGAACCTCTGATGTAAGTACCGAACAGGTCCCATCTAGAACCTCTGATGTAAGTACCCCACAGGTCCCATCTAGAACCTCTGATGTAAGTACCCCACAGGTCCCATCTAGAACCTCTGATGTAAGTACCCCACAGATTCCTGGCCCCATCTAGAACCTCTGATGTAAGTACCCCACAGGTCCCATCTAGAACCTCTGATGTAAGTACCCCACAGATTCCTGGCCCCATCTAGAACCTCTGATGTAAGTACCCCACAGGCCCCATCTAGAACCTCTGATGTAAGTACCCCACAGGTCCCATCTAGAACCTCTGATGTAAGTACCGAACAGGTCCCATCTAGAACCTCTGATGTAAGTACCCCACAGGTCCCATCTAGAACCTCTGATGTAAGTACCCCACAGATTCCTGGCCCCATCTAGAACCTCTGATGTAAGTACCCCACAGGTCCCATCTAGAACCTCTGATGTAAGTACCCCACAGATTCCTGGCCCCATCTAGAACCTCTGATGTAAGTACCCCACAGGCCCCATCTAGAACCTCTGATGTAAGTACCCCACAGGTCCCATCTAGAACCTCTGATGTAAGTACCCCACAGGCCCCATCTAGAACCTCTGATGTAAGTACCCCACAGATTCCTGGCCCCACCTAGAACCTCTGATGTAAGTACCCCACAGGTCCCATCTAGAACCTCTGATGTAAGTACCCCACAGGCCCCATCTAGAACCTCTGATGTAAGTACCCCACAGGCCCCATCTAGAACCTCTGATGTAAGTACCCCACAGGTCCCATCTAGAACCTCTGATGTAAGTACCCCACAGGCCCCATCTAGAACCTCTGATGTAAGTACCCCACAGGCCCAACCTAGAACCTCTGATGTAAGTACCCCACAGGTCCCATCTAGAACCTCTGATGTAAGTACCCCACAGGTCCCATCTAGAACCTCTGATGTAAGTACCCCACAGATTCCTGGCCCCATCTAGAACCTCTGATGTAAGTACCCCACAGGTCCCATCTAGAACCTCTGATGTAAGTACCCCACAGGCCCCATCTAGAACCTCTGATGTAAGTACCCCACAGATTCCTGGCCCCATCTAGAACCTCTGATGTAAGTACCCCACAGGTCCCATCTAGAACCTCTGATGTAAGTACCCCACAGGTCCCTGGCCCCATCTAGAACCTCTGATGTAAGTACCCCACAGTTCCCTGGCCCCATCTAGAACCTCTGATGTAAGTACCCCACAGGTCCCATCTAGAACCTCTGATGTAAGTACCCCACAGATTCCTGGCCCCATCTAGAACCTCTAATGTAAGTACCCCACAGGTCCCTGGCCCCACCTAGAACCTCTGATGTAAGTACCCCACAGATTCCTGGCCCCATCTAGAACCTCTGATGTAAGTACCCCACAGGTCCCTGGCCCCATCTAGAACCTCTGATGTAAGTACCCCACAGGTCCCTGGCCCCACCTAGAACCTCTGATGTAAGTACCCCACAGGTCCCATCTAGAACCTCTGATGTAAGTACCCCACAGATTCCTGGCCCCATCTAGAACCTCTGATGTAAGTACCCCACAGGTCCCTGGCCCCACCTAGAACCTCTGATGTAAGTACCCCACAGATTCCTGGCCCCATCTAGAACCTCTGATGTAAGTACCCCACAGATTCCTGGCCCCATCTAGAACCTCTGATGTAAGTACCCCACAGTTCCCATCTAGAACCTCTGATGTAAGTACCCCACAGATTCCTGGCCCCATCTAGAACCTCTGATGTAAGTACCCCACAGGCCCCATCTAGAACCTCTGATGTAAGTACCCCACAGGTCCCATCTAGAACCTCTGATGTAAGTACCCCACAGGTCCCATCTAGAACCTCTGATGTAAGTACCCCACAGGTCCCTGGCCCCATCTAGAACCTCTGATGTAAGTACCCCACAGGCCCCATCTAGAACCTCTGATGTAAGTACCCCACAGGCCCCATCTAGAACCTCTGATGTAAGTACCCCACAGGCCCCATCTAGAACCTCTGATGTAAGTACCCCACAGGTCCCATCTAGAACCTCTGATGTAAGTACCCCACAGATTCCTGGCCCCATCTAGAACCTCTGATGTAAGTACCCCACAGGCCCCATCTAGAACCTCTGATGTAAGTACCCCACAGTTCCCATCTAGAACCTCTGATGTAAGTACCCCACAGGCCCCATCTAGAACCTATGATGTAAGTACCCCACAGGTCCCATCTAGAACCTCTGATGTAAGTACCCCACAGGCCCCATCTAGAACCTCTGATGTAAGTACCCCACAGTTCCCATCTGGAACCTCAGATTTATGCCTTTTCTCTTACTGTACTTTTGGTTTCTCAAAAGCCTTTAATTTTAGTACTGTTTCACTTTGATAGATGAAATTTTGGGTATATGTAAATGATCTAATTCTCTAGTTTCTTTAAAATTTTGAAGGATTTGCAGTTACAGGACGTAATACTTTATTTTCAGATTTCTCAAAAATGCTTAAGAATTTATTTTTAACTTGATTCTACTGTCTATCGTCCATCATGGCCTGAATTTTGCCAGCAAAATTTTTAACACTTCTACTGGACCAATTTATTTCAAACTTTTCATGTAGTTCAAGACTTGAAGACTGAATTTGATTATTAATTAACTCTTTGAAAATTAATCAAGGTTTTCTTTATTACTAACTAATGTTCCGCACTAAGTAGTATACACATATTGTTTGCTGTTCATTTAGTGAGCAATTTTTTTTTTATGCAGTTCTGTTCTATTTAAAAGTTCAAGTATTTAAAAATTGATAAAAAAGCATGTCTGTATCCTGATTGCACTGGTGGTGCCAAACCCGTTAGTGTTATATAAAAAATCTTTGAGAAAGTTGAAAGGAAGATCCCTCCTGTTTTATTTAATTGCTGTCAGTTCTCAATGGTGGGGTCCTGGAGTAAAAATCATCATTTTTGACATATTTGATTCCAAAGAAATGTTTATATACCTGTATATTTGTCTGTGTCATCAGAAAAATTGAAGAGATCTGGCAACACAAGAAAAGTCACCACAAACACATTCTGCTGATATTTGAGGAGAAAGGTTCTCATGTGGGGAAACAGGTGAGAACCAAATTTGTGCAGATAAAAAGCATCTAATTAAACTTAATTTCCTGCTTTTAGATTTGAAACAAAACTTTGATATGGCTACTAATCATGTTGGTCTGGCCAATCATGGAGTTCTGTAACATTTCTTGTCTTTTTGTTTACACTCTGGCTTCTATAAATAACTTGAGATATGATGTAAGACTTGAGTGTAGCAGTAGGGTCAAGGTTGTGAGGTCACTGTGTGTCTGCAGGTGATGCTGGACGTGAGGAAGGTGACCAGTGTGCTGGTCCAGAGCATGGTCAAGGACAGCGTGGAAAAGTTTGGCATCAAGAAGTTCCCCAGCCTGTACAAGGTGAACAACGACTCCACCTACAAGGTCATGGCCGTGTGAGTTCTCTTATGTTTGATCACCCTGGGATTTTGTCTTGAAATTTTTCTAGAGCAAGGTCTGGGTGCACAGACCAAATTTCTATTTTTAGATTTTTAAAAATCTGACCTAAAATTACCTGAATATATTTTAGTTTTTAGGCTTCTAAAAATCTGACCTGAAATTGGCTGTATATTTAATTTTGTGGGTTTAAAAAAATGTTGTTGTCATGTGACCTGTGTTCACAGTGGTAGCCACAACAACGAGGAGGACAGGTACCTGTTTGTTAAAGTCATCAGGAGCCTGGCTGATGTGGGGAGTATTGGGAGCAGAGGTCAAATGCCAGAGGTCAGCAATCATGGGGGCATGATGGGAAGTAAGGACAAACAAGACCAGCCATCTAAAGTAAAGGCCAACAGGTCAGTTTGTTACACCAGCTGATTGCAGTGCTAAATCAAACAAAGATAAAACAAATATCAAATTTAAAAATAAAACAAACTTGCTTTCTTTCAGTGCATTTAACAGCTGTAAGCTTTTTATATTTTATTTTCTACTTTCTCATATACTCAGTAAAGAGGAAGTATTGTAATCATACACAAACATCACATGCAATTTTGACAGTTTCATCGTTTTACACCTCAGTACTTCATCATATAAAGAGTATAGGGGACTTATTTTAATCGGGCAAAAATAATAAATGCAGGTTTATCTTGATTTCAGCGTTTTTTGCATGATGGAGTAGAAAAAGCTGGGCTTTGCAATTCTTTCCGTATGTCAGTGTGTGTGTGTGTCTATAAACACGATAACTTGCTTACCGTTACAGCTAGGTTGATGAAATTTCATATACAAGTATTATATGAAACTTGTATTTCTGTCAACTTTTCAGCCATTTCCGGTAACCGGAATTGGAACTTACTCTGCTTTTGGTTTTACAAAAGCCTATAACTTGACTACTTTTTCAGACAGATAAATGAAATTTCAAAAATAAGTAAAAGATCTAATTTTCTGCTTTCTTTCAAATTTTGAGTAATTTCTGTTGACCAGAAGTAGTAATTTAGGCTATTTCTGATTTCTCATGTAAATTTATAAAGTACTCATAATATTCTGCACTATTATACACAGATTGTTTGGTGTTCACTTGGTGCGCAATTCTAATTTCTAAGACATTCTATTCTAAAAAGTTTAAGTAATTATAATGGATTAAAAATCATGTCTATATCCTGAGTTGCCATCCCCCATAGTGTTGTATAAAAATATTAGAGAAAGTTTAGGGGAGATCACTCCCAGTTTATTAGTTAATGAAACACACCACAAAATATACTTGCTTTTAAAAACTGATCAGTAGTTATGAAGCTTTAAAAATAATTATTTACCTCATCTAGTACACGTGGTCAGCTCAAAGGTGTTAAACCAACAGGCGTAACCAGACTGACAGAGTGGTTGTTTGAGAATAATGCTTTTGTTATCTCCCCTTATAGAATTAAATTAATTAAACTTTCAAATCATTTTTAATTTTATACCAAATTCGATTAAAAATTAGATATTCTTGTGCTATTTTCGGAGACAAATGTATCTGTAAAGTTTAATAAAAAATGTTTTAGAAATGGTCCAAAATTAAGTTGCTAAATTAGCCAGTAAATATTGTGAACTAAATTTTACACCCAGGGTTTGGGATGTGTGTGGGTAGTGTGAAGCTAAATCAAGTATTGCAGCACTCAATGCCTTAACTACCATTGACTTAACTACCATTGACTTAACTACAGCTCAGTGGTCAGCATGTATTGCAGCACTTAATGAATTCAAATACTAACTTGTCACCATTGACTTGACAGCTCAGTTGACTTGATGAATTCAAATACTAACTTGTCACCATTGACTTGACTATAGCTCAGTTGACTTGATGAATTCAAATACTAACTTGTCACCATTGACTTGACTATAGCTCAGTTGACTTGATGAATTCAAATACTAACTTGTCACCATTGACTTGACTATAGCTCAGTTGACTTGATGAATTCAAATACTAACTTGTCACCATTGACTTGACTATAGCTCAGTTGACTTGATGAATTCAAATACTAACTTGTCACCATTGACTTAACTACAGCTCAGTGGTCAGCATGCAGGACCTGGAGTCTGCCATCCACTATAGCTTTAGGCAGGAAGTGGCCATCATGAAGGTCATTGACAGCGAGAAGCTGGCCGCACTCAAAGACTTTGTCAGTGTCCTGGCCAAGGTGGGTTGGGGCTTGTATATGTCCTGTTGGTTGTCAATGTCCTGTTGGTTGTCAATGTCCTGTTGGTTGTCAATGTCCTGTTGGTTGTCAATGTCCTGTTGGTGGGATGTGTCTTGTCAGTGTCCTGGCCAATGTGGGTTGGGGCTTGTATATGTCCTGTTGGTTGTCAATGTCCTGTTGGTTGTCAATGTCCTGTTGGTTGTCAATGTCCTGTTGGTTGTCAATGTCCTGTTGGTGGGTTGGGACTTGTCAATGTCCTGTTGGTTGTCAATGTCCTGTTGGTGGGATGTGACTTGTCAATGTCCTGTTGGTGGGTTGTGTCTTGTCAATGTCCTGTTTACGGGTTGGGACTTGTCAATATCCTGTTGGTTGTCAATGTCCTGTTTGTGGGTTGTGTCTTTCCAATACATTAGCATAGGTGCTACTTGAAATAGATGAGATCTATGGCCAACACTTGAGGCATGAAGGTGAAAAAATGTGAGGCGCTGAATGAATGGGCAAATGTCTTGACACTAGGGTAGGGCTAACCAATTGCTGTCTGGACCATTTCAGTAATGTCTTGACACTAGGGTAGGGCTAACCAATTGCTGTCTGGACCATTTCAGTAATGTCTTGACACTAGGGTAGGGCTAACCAATTGCTGTCTGAACCATTTCAGTAATGTCTTGACACTAGGGTAGGGCTAACCAATTGCTGTCTGAACCATTTCAGTAATGTCTTGACATTAGGGTAGGGCTAACCAGTTGCTGTCTGGACCATTTCAGTAATGTATTGACACTAGGGTAGGGCTAACCAATTGCTGTCTGGACCATTTCAGTAATGTCTTGACATTAGGGTAGGGCTAACCAGTTGCTGTCTGGACCATTTCAGTAATGTCTTGACACTAGGGTTGGGCTAACCAATTGCTGTCTGGACCATTTCAGTAATGTCTTGACATTAGGGTAGGGCTAACCAGTTGCTGTCTGGACCATTTCAGTAATGTCTTGACACTAGGGTTGGGCTAACCAATTGCTGTCTGGACCATTTCAGTAATGTCTTGACATTAGGGTAGGGCTAACCAATTGCTGTCTGGACCATTTCAGTAATGTCTTGACACTAGGGTAGGGCTAACCAATTGCTGTCTGGACCATTTCAGTAATGTCTTGACATTAGGGTAGGGCTAACCAATTGCTGTCTGGACCATTTCAGTAATGTCTTGACATTAGGGTAGGGCTAACCAATTGCTGTCTGGACCATTTCAGTAATGTCTTGACATTAGGGTAGGGCTAACCAATTGCTGTCTGGACCATTTCAGTAATGTCTTGACATTAGGGTAGGGCTAACCAATTGCTGTCTGGACCATTTCAGTAATGTCTTGACATTAGGGTAGGGCTAACCAATTGCTGTCTGGACCATTTCAGTAATGTCTTGACACTAGGGTAGGGCTAACCAATTGCTGTCTGGACCATTTCAGTAATGTCTTGACACTAGGGTAGGGCTAACCAGTTGCTGTCTGGACCATTTCAGTAATGTCTTGACACTAGGGTTGGGCTAACCAATTGCTGTCTGGACCATTTCAGTAATGTCTTGACATTAGGGTAGGGCTAACCAGTTGCTGTCTGGACCATTTCAGTAATGTCTTGACACTAGGGTAGGGCTAACCAGTTGCTGTCTGGACCATTTCAGTAATGTCTTGACACTAGGGTAGGGCTAACCAGTTGCTGTCTGGACCATTTCAGTAATGTCTTGACACTAGGGTTGGGCTAACCAATTGCTGTCTGGACCATTTCAGTAATGTCTTGACATTAGGGTAGGGCTAACCAGTTGCTGTCTGGACCATTTCAGTAATGTATTGACACTAGGGTAGGGCTAACCAATTGCTGTCTGGACCATTTCAGTAATGTCTTGACATTAGGGTAGGGCTAACCAGTTGCTGTCTGGACCATTTCAGTAATGTCTTGACACTAGGGTTGGGCTAACCAATTGCTGTCTGGACCATTTCAGTAATGTCTTGACATTAGGGTAGGGCTAACCAGTTGCTGTCTGGACCATTTCAGTAATGTCTTGACACTAGGGTTGGGCTAACCAATTGCTGTCTGGACCATTTCAGTAATGTCTTGACATTAGGGTAGGGCTAACCAATTGCTGTCTGGACCATTTCAGTAATGTCTTGACACTAGGGTAGGGCTAACCAGTTGCTGTCTGGACCATTTCAGTAATGTCTTGACACTAGGGTAGGGCTAACCAATTGCTGTCTGGACCATTTCAGTAATGTCTTGACACTAGGGTAGGGCTAACCAGTTGCTGTCTGGACCATTTCAGTAATGTCTTGACACTAGGGTTGGGCTAACCAATTGCTGTCTGGACCATTTCAGTAATGTCTTGACATTAGGGTTGGGCTAACCAGTTGCTGTCTGGACCATTTCAGTAATGTCTTGACACTAGGGTAGGGCTAACCAATTGCTGTCTGGACCATTTCAGTAATGTCTTGACATTAGGGTAGGGCTAACCAATTGCTGTCTGGACCATTTCAGTAATGTCTTGACACTAGGGTAGGGCTAACCAATTGCTGTCTGGACCATTTCAGTAATGTCTTGACATTAGGGTAGGGCTAACCAATTGCTGTCTGGACCATTTCAGTAATGTCTTGACATTAGGGTAGGGCTAACCAATTGCTGTCTGGACCATTTCAGTAATGTCTTGACATTAGGGTAGGGCTAACCAATTGCTGTCTGGACCATTTCAGTAATGTCTTGACATTAGGGTAGGGCTAACCAATTGCTGTCTGGACCATTTCAGTAATGTCTTGACATTAGGGTAGGGCTAACCAATTGCTGTCTGGACCATTTCAGTAATGTCTTGACACTAGGGTAGGGCTAACCAATTGCTGTCTGGACCATTTCAGTAATGTCTTGACACTAGGGTAGGGCTAACCAATTGCTGTCTGAACCATTTCAGTAATGTCTTGACACTAGGGTAGGGCTAACCAATCGCTGTCTGGACCATTTCAGTAATGTCTTGACACTAGGGTAGGGCTAACCAATTGCTGTCTGGACCATTTCAGTAATGTCTTGACACTAGGGTAGGGCTAACCAGTTGCTGTCTGGACCATTTCAGTAATGTCTTGACATTAGGGTAGGGCTAACCAATTGCTGTCTGGACCATTTCAGTAATGTCTTGACATTAGGGTAGGGCTAACCAATTGCTGTCTGGACCATTTCAGTAATGTCTTGACACTAGGGTAGGGCTAACCAATTGCTGTCTGGACCATTTCAGTAATGTCTTGACACTAGGGTAGGGCTAACCAATTGCTGTCTGAACCATTTCAGTAATGTCTTGACACTAGGGTAGGGCTAACCAATTGCTGTCTGGACCATTTCAGTAATGTCTTGACACTAGGGTAGGGCTAACCAATTGCTGTCTGGACCATTTCAGTAATGTCTTGACACTAGGGTAGGGCTAACCAATTGCTGTCTGAACCATTTCAGTAATGTATTGACACTAGGGTAGGGCTAACCAGTTGCTGTCTGGACCATTTCAGTAATGTCTTGACACTAGGGTAGGGCTAACCAATTGCTGTCTGAACCATTTCAGTAATGTATTGACACTAGGGTAGGGCTAACCAGTTGCTGTCTGGACCATTTCAGTCATGTCTTGACACTAGGGTAGGGCTAACCAATTGCTGTCTGGACCATTTCAGTAATGTCTTGACACTAGGGCTAACCAGTTGCTGTCTGGACCATTTCAGTAATGTATTGACACTAGGGTAGGGCTAACCAATTGCTGTCTGGACCATTTCAGTAATGTCTTGACATTAGGGTAGGGCTAACCAATTGCTGTCTGGACCATTTCAGTAATGTCTTGACATTAGGGTAGGGCTAACCAATTGCTGTCTGGACCATTTCAGTAATGTCTTGACATTAGGGTAGGGCTAACCAATTGCTGTCTGGACCATTTCAGTAATGTCTTGACATTAGGGTAGGGCTAACCAATTGCTGTCTGGACCATTTCAGTAATGTCGTGACACTAGGGTAGGGCTAACCAATTGCTGTCTGGACCATTTCAGTAATGTCTTGACACTAGGGTAGGGCTAACCAATTGCTGTCTGAACCATTTCAGTAATGTCTTGACACTAGGGTAGGGCTAACCAATTGCTGTCTGGACCATTTCAGTAATGTCTTGACACTAGGGTAGGGCTAACCAATTGCTGTCTGGACCATTTCAGTAATGTCTTGACACTAGGGTAGGGCTAACCAGTTGCTGTCTGGACCATTTCAGTAATGTCTTGACATTAGGGTAGGGCTAACCAATTGCTGTCTGGACCATTTCAGTAATGTCTTGACATTAGGGTAGGGCTAACCAATTGCTGTCTGGACCATTTCAGTAATGTCTTGACACTAGGGTAGGGCTAACCAATTGCTGTCTGGACCATTTCAGTAATGTCTTGACACTAGGGTAGGGCTAACCAATTGCTGTCTGAACCATTTCAGTAATGTCTTGACACTAGGGTAGGGCTAACCAATTGCTGTCTGGACCATTTCAGTAATGTCTTGACACTAGGGTAGGGCTAACCAATTGCTGTCTGAACCATTTCAGTAATGTATTGACACTAGGGTAGGGCTAACCAGTTGCTGTCTGGACCATTTCAGTAATGTCTTGACACTAGGGTAGGGCTAACCAATTGCTGTCTGAACCATTTCAGTAATGTATTGACACTAGGGTAGGGCTAACCAGTTGCTGTCTGGACCATTTCAGTCATGTCTTGACACTAGGGTAGGGCTAACCAATTGCTGTCTGGACCATTTCAGTAATGTCTTGACATTAGGGTAGGGCTAACCAGTTGCTGTCTGGACCATTTCAGTAATGTCTTGACATTAGGGTAGGGCTAACCAGTTGCTGTCTGGACCATTTCAGTAATGTCTTGACACTAGGGTAGGGCTAACCAATTGCTGTCTGGACCATTTCAGTAATGTCTTGACATTAGGGTAGGGCTAACCAATTGCTGTCTGGACCATTTCAGTAATGTATTGACACTAGGGTAGGGCTAACCAGTTGCTGTCTGGACCATTTCAGTAATGTATTGACACTAGGGTAGGGCTAACCAATTGCTGTCTGAACCATTTCAGTAATGTCTTGACACTAGGGTAGGGCTAACCAGTTGCTGTCTGGACCATTTCAGTAATGTCTTGACACTAGGGTAGGGCTAACCAATTGCTGTCTGAACCATTTCAGTAATGTCTTGACACTAGGGTAGGGCTAACCAATCGCTGTCTGGACCATTTCAGTACTTCCCTGGACGTAAGCCTGTGCTAGGTTTCCTGGGTCAAGTGGTGCTCATGTTGAGCAAGCTGGACAGGCAAAACTTGACCGGTGAAGAATGGATGGGTAAAATAGATGGCATCCAGGTAAGTCCTGGTCAGGTGGGCTCAAATTCTAAAAAAATAGATGGCATCCAGGTAAGTCCTGGTCAGGTGGGCTCAAATTCTTTCACTCAAACAGCTAATTCAATCTTTGGGGTTCAGAAATATTTTTTAATATATTACCGTCATTTATGGTGCTAATTAAGTTTACAAACATTCAGCATATTTTTAAAAATTTTTTTTTTATAAGTTTAACTTTACAAACAATAAAAAGCAGCCTATGAATATGATCACTTTTATCTTTGACTTGAGGATCAAGACAACTTTTTACCAGACGTCATTAAGTGGCAGGCCTGTCAGGGCAGCTCCGCCCAGTACAGGGGATTCCCCTGCAGTATGTGGACCTTGTTCCACACCCTGACTGTTGCTGCCTATTCCCAGAATCAAGCAGCAAGTGAGTGATTGCCCTTGTGTAGACTTTGTGTTTAGAAATATTTGATCATGTGAGTGATTGCCCTTGTGTAGACTTTGTGTTTAGAAATATTTGATCATGTGAGTGATTGCCCTTGTGTAGACTTTGTGTTTAGAAATATTTGATCATGTGAGTGATTGCCCTTGTGTAGACTTTGTGTTTAGAAATATTTGATCATGTGAGTGATTGCCCTTGTGTAGACTTTGTGTTTAGAAATATTTGATCATGTGAGTGATTGTTTTAACTTGACCTCAGGACAGAGCAATCCTCAAGAAGTACTTCTGGCTGTCAGGGGCTACATGAAACATTTCTTTGGCTGTAAAGAATGCTCCATCAACTTCCTGCAGATGGCCCAGTCAGTGCCAGAGGAAGTCAGAGACCATAAAGGGGCTGTCTTGTGGCTGTGGACCGCCCACAACAAGGCCAACAAGCGTCTCCATGGTGACGTCTCAGAGGACCCCAAGCACCCCAAAGTCCAGTTCCCTCCAGACAGTCTGTGCCCCAAGTGTCAGACCATGACCCAGTCCCCAAGCGAGGGCATGAAGCTGTCCTGGGACCAAGAGCAGGTCTTCACATTTCTCACCAGCTTCTACTCAGCTAAAAACATCGTCTTCCCCCTAACTTTACAAAGCTCAGCTGAGGCTTTAGAAGCTGAACAAGGGGATGACGACAATGCCAAACCATTGGACACACCTTTAAAAGAACTAGACTGGTGGGAAAAGATGCAGAAGCAAGACGATTTGAAAAATGTCTGGCTTTTGAAAGAGAAGTTGGATCGGCGTCGAGGGTCAGTGGGCAGGCTGGGAGAAGAGAGGGAGATCTCGTATGCTCTGAGGAGTGAGAGAAACTTTCTCAGCACTTGGGGTCTGACCCAGACAGACCTGAGCATGTGTGTGGTCTTCTACGTGGTCAGCACTGTGTTGATCATCCTACTCTATCACCACTTCATTGTCAGGCGACGCATGATTTCATGTAAAAATTCCAAGAGTTTTATTTAAAATCGTTTAGGCTGTGTATGGTATCGTGTTTTAGATGTTTGTTATTTTATTTACCTAAGATGGTATGTGAAAACTTCCAAATAATTTTAAAAATGTTTGTATTTAGCAGTAGCTATCAAGCTGTGTGTTTGCTTTGTTTAAGGGACATTCTTTTTTATTTTGGTGCTAATAATCTAGTAACACAGTTTTTTTTAAATTTATTTTATGGTGGCAGAAGTCATACATGATTTAGCATAATCTAGTGATGGGGATTATGTATTCTACTAATCCCGACTTTCTGGATAGTGACTCTGATGGTGATGAGATGAAGTCACCAAATGGTGCCACACTCAGCTGTAGGTGATAGCCTTGAGTGTTACCTACTGTGTTGACCTGTAGGTGATAGCCTTGAGTGTTACCTACTGTGTTGACCTGTAGGTGATAGCCTTGAGTGTTACCTGCTGTGTTGACCTGTAGGTGATAGCCTTGAGTGTTACCTACTGTGTTGACCTGTAGGTGATAGCCTTGAGTGTTACCTACTGTGTTGACCTGTAGGTGATAGCCTTGAGTGTTACCTACTGTGTTGACCTGTAGGTGATAGCCTTGAGTGTTACCTATTGTGTTGACCTGTAGGTGATAGCCTTGAGTGTTACCTACTGTGTTGACCTGTAGGTGATAGCCTTGAGTGTTACCTATTGTGTTGACCTGTAGGTGATAGCCTTGAGTGTTACCTACTGTGTTGACCTGTAGGTGATAGCCTTGAGTGTTACCTACTGTGTTGACCTGTAGGTGATAGCCTTGAGTGTTACCTATTGTGTTGACCTGTAGGTGATAGCCTTGAGTGTTACCTACTGTGTTGACCTGTAGGTGATAGCCTTGAGTGTTACCTATTGTGTTGACCTGTAGGTGATAGCCTTGAGTGTTACCTATTGTGTTGACCTGTAGGTGATAGCCTTGAGTGTTACCTACTGTGTTGACCTGTAGGTGATAGCCTTGAGTGTTACCTATTGTGTTGACCTGTAGGTGATAGCCTTGAGTGTTACCTACTGTGTTGACCTGTAGGTGATAGCCTTGAGTGTTACCTGCTGTGTTGACCTGTAGGTGATAGCCTTGAGTGTTACCTATTGTGTTGACCTGTAGGTGATAGCCTTCAGTGTTACCTACTGTGTTGACCTGTAGGTGATAGCCTTGAGTGTTACCTGCTGTGTTGACCTGTAGGTGATAGCCTTGAGTGTTACCTACTGTGTTGACCTGTAGGTGATAGCCTTGAGTGTTACCTGCTGTGTTGACCTGTAGGTGATAGCCTTGAGTGTTACCTGCTGTGTTGACCTGTAGGTGATAGCCTTGAGTGTTACCTAATGTGTTGACCTGTAGGTGATAGCCTTGAGTGTTACCTGCTGTGTTGACCTGTAGGTGATAGCCTTGAGTGTTACCTATTGTGTTGACCTGTAGGTGATAGCCTTCAGTGTTACCTACTGTGTTGACCTGTAGGTGATAGCCTTGAGTGTTACCTACTGTGTTGACCTGTAGGTGATAGCCTTCAGTGTTACCTACTGTGTTGACCTGTAGGTGATAGCCTTCAGTGTTACCTACTGTGTTGACCTGTAGGTGATAGCCTTCAGTGTTACCTACTGTGTTGACCTGCAGTTGACTTGTTGCAAGCAAGAGTTGAGCTAGTCAATGTTGTTATTTTGGGTTGTGTGATGAGAGTAGTGCTTGCAAATGTTGGATTCTATTTTATTTACTGTTTAGTTGTACATTGTACATTTCCTTTTGCGCTTTCATTTGTTACCCATACGGGATATCCTTTTAGCTTGGGATCACATATGATATGGGATCAGCCCATCCGCTAAGAGAAGCCACATCTTACCTTATTTATGACCAGCATTTGTCCATTGACCCATTAGGTTTGTTTCTGCCTGCATCTTTTGTCCTGATTGGTTGATGATGTTGTACATGAAGTCCTCTAGAGCTGCGGACTCTGTGTGTTAGGTGGTTGAGGAAAAGAAATCATGGATTGTATTAAAAATGTATTTTATTTTAAAAAGTTTTAAAAACCGTACTTACTAGTTGCACCTCCTTTACATCATTTGAAAAATGTTTTGATTTTTAAAGATGATAAAATTATATTTACACTATCAAATGTTTGCCGAAGAAGATGACGCTGCTTAACATCTGCCTTACTGTACATTTTTAATATTTTTATTCCTTCTTTCAAACTTTTTAGCTCAAATTTGTAAAATTATGTTGATAATTTATTCACTAATACATTTTTACTTAAAGTTAAAGCCAAAACGAGAATTGTTGAGAAGAGCAGCTAAATTAAGATTTTCTGAAAGCTAAAGGCCCATTTATTGTTTGGCTGTTGAGAGGGTGTGTATCACCAAGTGATGTGAATAGAAATCTCAGGCTCCTATTGTATTGGTTAATGTTGCTGTCTATTTGAAGGCCTGTGTTTCAACTGATCTCCTCAGCTATAGACACCAGCTTCTCACCACAGTATCTTTGAATGGACACATTTTTGTTGATTGCATTGGATTTTTGCAGCATTCAATTAATATTTATAGTGTGTTTTAAAATGTTTTAAAATATTTACCTTCCGAATTTATTCTGTTGAAATGTTATATTTCTTTTGCTAAAACTATTTATTAAATTCACCTCATTAGTGTGCTTAAATAAAGTGCTTGCTGAGTTGAATGCCTGTTTGAACATTATTATGAGCTATACCTCAGTTGTTAAATACGCTCATGATTGTAACATTTCTGGTGCCAGTGTGAGAATGTTGTAGACAAAGCATTGTTAATTCTTGGATTAATTTTTTTAAGTAGCCTAATTCAGTGAAAAATAATTAGCAACAGGTAAAATAATTGTAACCATTTTTTTTTTGACGTCCTAGTGAATTGTTTACAAAACATGTCCAGTTGAGACAGTTGTTATCTACTGTTTGGTGCTATTACATTTGTATGGATTGGACATATTCTGTAAGGGTAAAATGTGTACAAATATTTATGATATTGTGTTTTATATTTCCTAGAACTTAGAAATTATTTAATAAATAATGCCAAAATTTGAAGTTTTGATTCTTTAAAAAAAAATTTTAAATTTGGAAAATAGATTTTTAAATTTTATTTTGAGTTATAACTGATTTAAAAGAAATGAAAGTCTTATTATTTGACTGGTTACCTGTTTGAAAATTGAAATATTTGAAACAGACCAATGAAGACTTTTTCTATAATTAATGTTGTGTGTGTGTTGCTGGACCTGCACACTGAACCACTTTTTATTTGATGTGTAATTGTGATCATTATTTACAGTTGAACATTGTACAGTCTTAAGTAAAACAATTTCTGGGCTGAATACATGTCAGGAAAATTTAAATCATTACATTTTTATGACCTGCATATAAAGTTTAAAAGCGAGGAGTTAATTCAGTTTAAATCCAGTACTCAGCATGTTTTCTCACTCTGATTGATGATCTGAAATGTTTTGAATGAAATAAACATGTGATCAACATTACAAATGTGTTTGGGTTATTTTCCTCTTCATAAAAAAAAATAGCAGCAAAACCTGTCTGACCGATGTATAAAAAAAATAAATCTGAAAAATCACCATATTATGAATAATTAATTACAAAGAAACTCACGATCTCATTATAAACAGCTTTAGGTACTTGCTTAAGTATCCTAGATCTATTCAGTTACTAATTTTTATTTTGACTTGCCAGAGAAATAGCTGAGCATGATTAAAAAGAGGCTCTGATATAGAAATTATCTCACGGTTGGAAATGTTTGGGGTGGTAGGGTCTACTGTTGACATCCCAACCCTGCCTTTTCTTCATTCTAAATTTTACCCTACCCTTTTCTTAATTCTAAACTTTACTAACTGCAAACAATGGTTTTGATTTTTTAAAATAGTGTAAGCAGTTGACCAAATGTCTCAAATTAATAGAAAATCGGTCTTATGGTATGAAAATCATTTGTTTTGAAAAAAAATGCTTTGTTTCATTTTCAGCTCTTTTAAGTACGTTTCTAAGGATAAATTACATGGGAAAATGGGCAAGGAATAACAAATAGGGTTGCCAGATACCTTTTCCAAAAATACTGGACACCTTTCCATCCTTCCCTTCTCAGGTATGCCGCAAAGCAGAAGAAGGGGGGTAACAGAGTATTATTCATATACTTGTCCAGTATTTATTTTATCCTGGACAGTCTGCTCAAATAGTGGACTGTCCGGTTCAAAACTGGACACCTGGTAACCCTAATAACAAAATGTACAAATCTTTCATCCTGCTTCAGTAGGTCTACTCTTGATTTAACTTTTTATTGGAAACCCTTTGACCCATTTTAATTGATAATATAATAATAATATATCAAGTATAAACAGACGAATTTTACCAATTAAAAATAGCAATTTATTATATATATATATATATATATATATATATATATATATATATATATATATATATATATATATATATGGTGACTATATTAGAATTCATTCTCACATTTGATAAGCTGTGGGAGTTGTCTTTCTTTCTCTAGATTAATCTAGATCTAGATCTATGTCCAATGACATTACACATAATCATGTCCAGCAGATGAGAATTGCTAATACTTAATACAAATAATAGTAACAATACTAATAATAGTAACTTGCTATGAAAGTAATTAGAAATTGCAAACAAAAAAAATCAATGTCAGTGTAAATTGCTGGAAAGCTAAGCTAGACTACTGACAGTAAACTTTCTGTGATCACGTAACCCACTTTGAGTTTACGGTTGTGACATGAAACTTGCTAAAAAGGAAGTGGCAAAATCAATGGCAATCGCAAAAGTGAATAGCGTCATAAAATATTTTTAAAATCGTATTCGTATGCGGTGTTATTAAAAAAAAAACCCAATGTGATTATAAAACTTTATTGTGAGGTTTTAGCCTGACTCTAGTCTTTACAAAAGATTGAATGTGGGCCTATTTGAATTTTTTAATTTATATTTTCGGTAGCTAATCAAAATTTAAAAAACAAAAGCCAAAATCAATTATGCCCTAGTGTTATTTTTTAAAATTTGTATTACTGAAAATGTAAAGCATCATCATGTATGGTATGGGTGATGGGTCACCAACCAAAGATCTCCAGTGTTCTCTGTCCTGCTGGGGTATGAGTCACCAACCAAAGATCTCCAGAGTCCTCTGTCCTGCTGGGGTATGAGCCACCAACCAAAGATCTACAGTCCTCTGTCCTGCTGGGGTATGAGCCACCAACCAAAGATCTCCAGAGTCCTCTGTCCTGCTGGGGTATGGGTCACCAACCAAAGATCTCCAGTCCTCTGTCCTGCTGGGGTATGGGTCACCAACCAAAGATCTCCAGTCCTCTGTCCTGCTGGGGTATGGGTCACCAACCAAAGATCTCCAGTCCTCTGTCCTGCTGGGGTATGAGCCACCAACCAAAGATCTCCAGAGTCCTCTGTCCTGCTGGGGTATGAGCCACCAACCAAAGATCTCCAGAGTCCTCTGTCCTGCTGGGGTATGAGCCACCAACCAAAGATCTCCAGAGTCCTCTGTCCTGCTGGGGTATGGGCCGCCAACCAAAGATCTACAAAGTCCTCTGTCCTGTGCCAGTTTCTCAACCTGACTGAAGTCAATCTTTTTGTTATTTCATCCTCAATGCATCATCTGCGATGTATGGTGGTCATTCCCCTATCCGACACAGGTGGAGGCGCTCGGTGGGAGATTGGCTACTCCACGCGAGGAAAATGTAAATAAACATGACGTAGCTAGAGTAGATCCTAGGTCAGCGGTTATTAACCTTTTTATGTATGCGCAACCACCGAGCCCTACTTAATAGTTCTTTTGTCCGCACTGACAATATCCGATCGTGAATCATGAGTCCTATGTGTGTTTTGACCTTCGCCGAACCCTCAGACTGACACACTGAACATTTATTCTAAAAATATAAATTTCTGAAATTTTTTTCGGGTTTAAATTGTTTAAAAAAAAAACAAAAAAAAAAAACAAAAAAAAAAAACCAAACAAAAACGCTTATATAAGTGTACTTACACTTACACACTAAAAAGAAGAAAAGAAATTTTCTTTAAAAATATAATAATGAGCTATCATTTAAATTTTATATAACTAAAAAGAACCGTGTCAACAATAATGTATTTAAGTAGGCTATAATTAGATCTATAATGATCGAACACATCTCGTCAAACTCGTTTACTTCCGTTATGTAATAATTCAAAATTTGACCTGAAAAAAAATGAATACCTTACTAATAATATAATGCATAAACCAACGATATTAACTCATTAACTCTATCGATTTTGTATTTTTTACTAGATCTAGATCTAGATATATACAATTTATTTTAAATTAAAATGCGATACAATTTTAAAAGTTTTTTTTACACTTTCATTTAAATGTAGGCATTCAAAGAAAGATCGACTAATAATCTCAGGGCTACCAAATTGGCTTACAATACAAAACATTTTAATATTATTATGCACATATTTAAATCTAGAGCTTTTAATGTTATTAAGCTACTGATCATAATTATTTAATTTACAAATGTTAATGACTAAATAAAATCTAAGTGTTAGGCTAAAACAGATAGATCTAGACGCAAGTATATTAGGAAGACCACAACTTTCGTTTGATACTCTGATCTGGTCATTTTAAAGCAATAATCATGGAGACCGTTCGTGAGGTAGATTAAGAAATATTAGATTAGTATAGAATATAGAATCTAGAGGATAGAATCTAGATCTAGATATCTAGATTAGATCTAGACACTAGATTTTAGATCTAATAAAAAAAATTAAACTATTGCAAAAATTAATTAAATTATTATTCGAATAAATTATTAATCTTTTTCACTTTTTGAGATCCAGCCAAAATTTATGAATCTACAGTAAAACAGTGATAAAATAAACAGATAAAGCCTTTTTTTTTTAATTTTGAGGCAATTAACTAATTAAGTGTTAGATCTAAGGATTTGTATTAAATTTAAGTAATTAATTTTTTATACTCATTAAATTTATAAAATTATAGATCTAGGTCTAGTCTAGTAGATCTAGGTCTAGGCCGTTCGAATTCACAGCTTCCGGGTTTGTTGTTTTGAAGCCATCTCACGGCTCATGCGCTTACCAAAAATGACGACCAGTTTCGCTTTCACTAATGGGTAGAGCGATAAAACTAATGATTACGATGCCATCGTTAATTTAAGAAATCGGAACTATCCGTTTCTATTTAAGTCTGTTATTTAAGAATTGTCGGATCTACTTTTGGCCTAATTTCTATGTTTGTCTCGCAAGCGGCGCCTTAGTGAAAGTAGCTCTATATAATTCTTATCTTTCGAATCAAATAACTATAAAATACCGCAGGTATTTTTAACCAGACTATTGCTATTTTTTACTTGAAAGCATTAATTTTACACACGTTACAATAAACTGGTAATAATTTATTGTAGGCATGAGATATGCTCTGTAAGAATAATAATGCCATTTTATTATAATCTTTTTTGGTGAACACGAAGCGCGGGAAAATGTGTGACGCGCAAGAATCCAATCATTCGGCTAGATTTATGACTGTTTTTTATGTCACACCTAAAAATAGAATGTTTACGCTTTCTTCATTGATGATCGTTTTCATTATTTTTTTAAACTGAAAGTATGAATTATTAGTTAGATTTCAGGTTTTGTAACTTGGTATACTTACCCTTTATCAAAATTAAAAGCATAGCATGCTGATTGTGAACAAATATAGTCATAAAACACAAATATAAAGTTACAAACAATGCGATGTCGGGATGTGCCACACCCCCTCAAGAAAACACGTGTTTATTAAGCTGTTTATCTCACTTTACAACAGTAATTAAAATTAATTTTCAAATTTTTATCACTTATTGGGTAAGATTAAGCACATATTTACTTAAAATGAAAAAAAAAACAAAAGCAAATTCTGTTTTAATGAAGGTCACGGGTCAAGTTTTTTTTTCCTTCTGTCATGTTCAGTGGAGGGTGCCACAGGCTGACCTGACTTTGGAATTTTTTTCAGTAATAATGACTTTGCACAGAAAGTTAAAATATGCTAAATTGGCTTAGTTTACTAGTGTGCAAGCTATTATTGATACATTTTTAATAAAAAAATCATTCTGTAATTCTCATCAAAAAGCCTAATCTAGGTCTATACCAATTTTATTTATTTTTATTAGAGGTAAAATATTCAAAAATATTTGTAAAATTTAAATCTAATTCATTTGGTTGTTATTAATTAATTATTATTAAATATTAATTAATATTATAGGATAGGCTGGCTAATATTTCAAAGCATCATTTGATAGGTAAAAATAAGACTGTATGATTGAAGTTTTTTGAATAACTCTTGTTTTTATTTGATTGTTTTGTAGTCAATGTCAGCAGGCGGAATGAAAAGTTCAAAAGTTCTGAACAAAGTCTCCAGCTCGTATGAGCTGTTTGAAGCAGATCCAGAAGATGATGTCATCCCGACCCAATCTAACCCATTTCGCGCACCATCCATTGCAGAAATTTACAAAGTAGTTGAATTAGACTCTAGAGCTTTATTTTTCTCTCCTTACACGAGCTTAAAAGATCTATCTTTTGACATATCCATGACCCTGGCTTATTATAATTTTTGTTACAAATATCTTTTATTTTTCATTCAAACATTTATAATTTTTGTTCAAATGCAGGATTTCCCATTGCTTGTGAAAATTTTAAACTTGATTTTTTAATTTAATGTTGTAAGCCCTAAATAGGTTTTTTTTTTGTTAGAACATTTTAGATAACTAAAAAAAAAGAAATTTATTCATTGTTGAACTTAAAAAGGATAATTGAAATGAGAGGATCCCTTTGTTTATACAATACAGGGAAAATGTAATTACTAATAGATTTAATTTTTAAATTAAAATGTCCATGAATACAAAGTAATGCATGTTGTTTCCCTCACACTAGATCATTGAGCCTATTTCTATCAATACACCAAGCAGTATTTTTATTGTTAAGAGCCGTGAAGATATGAAGAAATATGTGCTTAAAAAGGTATACTATATATTTGTATTTATGTTAAGCCTATGTTGATTGATTTAAATGTCAATAAAATGATAAGAGTATCCATAGATGACATCATGCAATTTTTTGAGTAGGTGTTTGTTTGCTCTCTTATACATCACCAAATAGAGATATTAAAGTCCACATTCACCAAAACCTAATTCTAATTGAAGCGTACAAGTACAAAAGTATGCTGGGTTTCCTAGAAGATGATGAGTCAGAACTTTTCTGCAGACTAGCACTTGTTTACTGTTAGTTTGAGATGCTTCCTGTAACACAAAGTAATGAATGAGCTTAAAGTAATGTTTCTTGCCATGCAAACATCACCTCATTGTAATGTTTTTTGTAATACAATTGATGTAAGGCTGTATTTCAACCTGTTAATTGGCTAGCTTTGTTACATTAGAATGTCATTGTTCATTGCACATCATGTTTTCTATTGCTTGTATATTCAGTGAGTAACATTCATGCATTCAACCACATAACTCAAACTCAAATCACTAAACTATCTTTTAACTAATTAGCTCACAATTCATTAGTTAATTAGTTAAAGATCAGCTTTTATTTGAATTCCAGATTGAATGCGAGGATGAAAGTGCTGCAGTCAAAGCATTTTTTGAGGTAAGTTTTCCGACTTGTGGTTCCGAAAGGCTTGGACACATTTGGAGATGACAATACACCATGATGCCTGAAGGTATCTATGACTTGATATTAGTTTGCCTACACTGAACAAGCCCACTAAAGGCAATTATAAATCCACAGTCACATTTGTTTTTATTATTACCACAGGAAATGGAGCTGAAAAAGTTGGAACATATAAATATTGTTAAATACAAAGATTTCTTCGTTACTTTTGAACCGAGTGTAATATATTTTCTTTTTCTTTGAATTTTTTCACAAAAAAGTATCAACCTGCATTTTTATGATATCATTACTTGTTGGATTGTCTAATTAAAATTATAGTTAACGCGTTGAACACTTTTCTATTTTGTGTTTAATATTACTATCTATTTACTAGGGTTAAGCCTTTTGTCATATTTTTATTAATAGTCTTTTGGACTAAACCTTTTTAAAACTATATTTTAATTATATGTAATCAGTAACTTTTCTCAATGCTCAAGGCAAACATTCAATACTTTAACACCAGCTGCAAAGAAAAACCTTTAAACATACAATATAGCCTATTGTTCTATTATTTGACATGTCAAGCTTTTTCTTATTAGCAATCGTCAGTTTTCCTAAATATCATCTCCAAATACTTTCCCTGTGGTAATCTTCAAAAATGGATTCAGGAGTATCAGGATAAAGCACAATTAGCATCTGAAAAGGTAGGACGCCAATTTCTTAATTACTCAACTTAAAAAAACATGAATTCATGGTCTACTGCCAAAAAAACTAACACCAGGTAAAACAATTGAAATCAAAGAATCCAACACTTGCTTGTTTAACAACTAAAAAACAACTGCATATAAGGTATATTAAACTTTTTATTTGAATATTTAGTCATATTATAATTGGTCACATATGATATAGCTGGTGAAAATATTGACTAGTGTTGATGGAGCATTTTTCTAAACTGTTATTTTCAGTCTGTAAAAAATATACTGGGGGACATCTTGAATGGCCTTGTCTACATGCATGAGAAAGGAATTATTCACAGGTAAAATTAGCTGCTCCATTTTTTCATGTTCATTCTCAAAAGTCAATGTGGAACTTAACAGGACAACTATTTAATTTATCTAAGACAGAATCTAGATCCCTACATTTCTTATTCCAACTTGCAGGAATATTGTTCCTGACAGAATCTAGACCCCTACATTTCTTATTCCAACTTGCAGGAATATTGTTCCTGACAGAATCTAGACCCCTACATTTCTTATTCCAACTTGCAGGAATATTGTTCCTGACAGAATCTAGATCCCTACATTTCTTATTCCAACTTGCAGGAATATTGTTCCTGACAGAATCTAGATCCCTACATTTCTTATTCCAACTTGCAGGAATATTGTTCCTGACAGAATCTAGACCCCTACATTTCTTATTCCAACTTGCAGGAATATTGTTCCTGACAGAATCTAGATCCCTACATTTCTTATTCCAACTTGCAGGAATATTGTTCCTGACAGAATCTAGACCCCTACATTTCTTATTCCAACTTGCAGGAATATTGTTCCTGACAGAATCTAGATCCCTACATTTCTTATTCCAACTTGCAGGAATATTGTTTCTGACAGAATCTAGATCCCTACATTTCTTATTCCAACTTGCAGGAATATTGTTCCTGACAGAATCTAGATCCCTACATTTCTTATTCCAACTTGCAGGAATATTGTTCCTGACAGAATCTAGATCCCTACATTTCTTATTCCAACTTGCAGGAATATTGTTCCTGACAGAATCTAGATCCCTACATTTCTTATTCCAACTTGCAGGAATATTGTTCCTGACAGAATCTAGATCCCTACATTTCTTATTCCAACTTGCAGGAATATTGTTCCTGACAGAATCTAGATCCCTACATTTCTTATTCCAACTTGCAGGAATATTGTTCCTGACAGAATCTAGATCCCTACATTTCTTATTTCAACTTGCAGGAATATTGTTCCTGACAGAATCTAGATCCCTACATTTCTTATTCCAACTTGCAGGAACATAAAACCCAGCAATATTTTTTTTCGTCAATGTGGGTCAGTGGTGCTAGCAGACCTGGGCGTATCTACCCTGAATAGTGACATGAGGACTAACACCAGACAGACACTCAGTAAGTCTGTCTAGTTGAGAGTATTGTAACACCAGACAGACACTCAGTAAGTCTGTCTAGTTGAGAGTATTGTAACAGCAGACAGACACTCAGTAAGTCTGTCTAGTTGAGAGTATTGTAACACCAGACAGACACTCAGTAAGTCTGTCTAGTTGAGAGTATTGTAACAGCAGACATTCACTCAGTAAGTCTGTCTAGTTGAGAGTATTGTAACACCAGACAGACACTCAGTAAGTCTGTCTAGTTGAGAGTATTGTAACACCAGACATTCACTCAGTAAGTCTGTCTAGTTGAGAGTATTGTAACAGCAGACATTCACTCAGTAAGTCTGTCTAGTTGAGAGTATTGTAACACCAGACAGACACTCAGTAAGTCTGTCTAGTTGAGAGTATTGTAACACCAGACAGACACTCAGTAAGTCTGTCTAGTTGAGAGTATTGTAACAGCAGACATTCACTCAGTAAGTCTGTCTAGTTGAGAGTATTGTAACACCAGACAGACACTCAGTAAGTCTGTCTAGTTGAGAGTATTGTAGCAGTAAGACAGACACTCAGTAAGTCTGTCTAGTTGAGAGTATTGTAACAGCAGACATTCACTCAGTAAGTCTGTCTAGTTGAGAGTATTGTAACAGCAGACAGTCACTCAGTAAGTCTGTCTACTTGAGAGTATTGTAACACCAGACAGACACTCAGTAAGTCTGTCTAGTTGAGAGTATTGTAACAGCAGGCAGACACTCAGTAAGTCTGTCTAGTTGAGAGTATTGTAACAGCAGACAGTCACTCAGTAAGTCTGTCTAGTTGAGAGTATTGTAACAGCAGGCAGACACTCAGTAAGTCTGTCTAGTTGAGAGTATTGTAACAGCAGACATTCACTCAGTAAGTCTGTCTAGTTGAGAGTATTGTAACACCAGACATTCACTCAGTAAGTCTGTCTACTTGAGAGTATTGTAACAGCAGGCAGACACTCAGTAAGTCTGTCTACTTGAGAGTATTGTAACAGCAGGCAGACACTCAGTAAGTCTGTCTACTTGAGAGTATTGTAACAGCAGGCAGACACTCAGTAAGTCTGTCTACTTGAGAGTATTGTAACAGCAGGCAGACACTCAGTAAGTCTGTCTAGTTGAGAGTATTGTAACAGCAGACATTCACTCAGTAAGTATGTCTAGTTGAGAGTATTGTAACAGCAGACAGTCACTCAGTAAGTCTGTCTACTTGAGAGTATTGTAACACCAGACAGACACTCAGTAAGTCTGTCTAGTTGAGAGTATTGTAACACCAGACAGACACTCAGTAAGTCTGTCTAGTTGAGAGTATTGTAACAGCAGGCAGACACTCAGTAAGTCTGTCTAGTTGAGAGTATTGTAACAGCAGGCAGACACTCAGTAAGTCTGTCTAGTTGAGAGTATTGTAACAGCAGACAGTCACTCAGTAAGTCTGTCTAGTTGAGAGTATTGTAACACCAGACAGACACTCAGTAAGTCTGTCTACTTGAGAGTATTGTAACAGCAGGCAGACACTCAGTAAGTCTGTCTACTTGAGATTATTGTAACAGCAGGCAGACACTCAGTAAGTCTGTCTACTTGAGAGTATTGTAACAGCAGACAGTCACTCAGTAAGTCTGTCTAGTTGAGAGTATTGTAGCAGCAGACAGACACTCAGTAAGTCTGTCTAGTTGAGAGTATTGTAACAGCAGACATTCACTCAGTAAGTCTGTCTAGTTGAGAGTATTGTAACAGCAGACAGTCACTCAGTAAGTCTGTCTACTTGAGAGTATTGTAACACCAGACAGACACTCAGTAAGTCTGTCTAGTTGAGAGTATTGTAACAGCAGACATTCACTCAGTAAGTATGTCTAGTTGAGAGTATTGTAACACCAGACATTCACTCAGTAAGTCTGTCTACTTGAGAGTATTGTAACAGCAGGCAGACACTCAGTAAGTCTGTCTACTTGAGAGTATTGTAACAGCAGGCAGACACTCAGTAAGTCTGTCTAGTTGAGAGTATTGTAACAGCAGGCAGACACTCAGTAAGTCTGTCTAGTTGAGAGTATTGTAACAGCAGGCAGACACTCAGTAAGTCTGTCTAGTTGAGAGTATTGTAACAGCAGGCAGACACTCAGTAAGTCTGTCTAGTTGAGAGTATTGTAACAACAGGCAGACACTTAGTAAGTCTGTCTAGTTGAGAGTATTGTCAGCAGTTCAATGAAAGTCTTAATATGAGTTTCGTCTACTGTGAGTACTCTGTGGGTTCCTCCATTATAGGGGGCATACTGTACCTGGCCCCAGAGACAGCCTACCAGTCACATGATGAGAAAAGCGACCTCTACTCTTTGGGAGCTGTGCTGCTCAACATGCTGACCACATCCACCCTGAGTAATGATGGTTTCTTCAAGAAGTTCTCTCAGATCAAGGAATTTCCTGAGATGTTGAATGAAGTGACTGAGGGAATTAGTGAGGTATGTTGCACACTCTTCTTTTTTTGTGTAGTAGCTGACATCACCAGAGCCGGCGTTAGGAAAACGCGGGGCCTAGGGCCAACCATCCGCGCGGGGCCTTTTCATTATATATATATATATACATATATATATGTATGTATGTATAAAGGCCTATATAATGTGATGTACACATAATAACACAAATGTTTTGGAGTTTATAAGCTAATGCCAAACTTTCCACTATAATAACAGAATTTTATCTCTCCCATGTATTAACCCAACGTTCTTAGTTTTTTTTCCTTGCTAAGATATTAAATCAGTTTTGACAGTTATGTAATTCATACCAAATCACTTAATAAAATTTAATAATTAGGAAAATAAAGTTTACAATACAGCGAACTCGGCCTGATGTATCAAAACAGTATAGACTTCAAAATTTGTTAGGAATTCATACAATATTTTAAAACCAAAATCATTATTGTCTAAACTATTGTAAAGGATTTCCCTATAATTAAAAAAATCGCTTAAGCACTCTACAAATGTCGTGTTTTAAAGTTCACCAAAGTATCAGATATAAATTGAAAGACCGTGTTTATTGGGGGAATATCAATGACTACTAAATCACTACCCTTCATTGCCTTCAAAGATTCCCCTTCCTCAATAAAAGTTGTGCGACGAGGACCATTCGCTGACTATATCATGTCAGCACCATCGGAAGACGATTGAATAAAACAATTTGGATGAATTCGCTAAATTAATCATTCTGTCTTGGAAAGGGTGAATCCTTAAGGTGACACAACATAACAACAGTTTTAACTTTCTTCCAAAAATTAATAATAAATCACCCTGTTTAATGCCCCCCCCCCCCCCTCCTGATATAGAATCCTAAACCCCCCCCCCCCCCCCCCCCCTCGTCGCCCTCCTCCCACCCCTCTGCACGCAACTGAATGTTAATTTTGTTATACCAAGACAAGTAGGCCTACATATAGAGTTTCTTCCAGGCATCTCTTCAGGGGGGGGTCAGACCCCCCCTGAAAAAATTCTACCGCTCCTCCCCCCCCCCCCCCCCCCCCCCCCCCCCGAAAATTTCAAGTGCCCCCTCCCCCCCCTCCCCCCGGAGAAAAAAGTCTGGAAAAAACACTGCACATATACGACATTATACGACATCTACAACAAGAAAGTCAGGACTAGAGTTCATCAGGTCACTAACTGTCTACTACAGACATCCCGTCTGCTCACTAAAAGGACGTCTTCATCGGTCCGCATACAATAGGGTATCTCTTTACGTCGTGGGCTAATTCTCGACTGCCATCTCCAGTCAGCTCAGGTCAAATGCCAGGCGACCGTACCCTACACAAAGGGGAGGTGTGACACTGTTTTTGTATCGAATTACGGACTTTCCCAGTTCAGGTGGGACTCACCAACATCAAACGTGGCCTCAGTTATAACAATCAACAACGTCGGCATTCGACCATTTAGTTTTTCCCAATTGAATTCAGAAACAATTTTTTTAAGTTTACAAACTGATTCAGATAACAATGACATTGCTGGAGCTTCTCCTCTGTACATGTTTCACCTGTTTCAGGTGAACTCTACTTCACTTGCCCCATGGAGCCTCAGGTTCTTAAAAAGAACTTTTTACTTGACACACTACCTGCCTTATATCTTACAGTTGTTCTCATTCAATGTTATATAATTAAGAGTGCTTAAATTCCCTAGATATACTCCAAGTCCATGACAATCTCAGTGCAACTTTTGCTGCGTCACAAGCACAGCATTCGTTTTACTACACTGTAAGTCAAATAAGTAACTCATAGTCCATAGGGCTGATCAGCTCAGCTACATCATCTCCACTCTCACGTCAGATGGCCACTCTGACGTAGGGTAGCCACCATGACAAACATAGCCACTCTAACATCTAGTAGATTGACATAGGGTAGCCATCTGTGTTGTGTTAGCTAAGAGGAAGGTGAGCCAGCACACACATTTTGTCACCATACCTTCCCAACCACATTAATGTCACTGTATTGAAGTGTGTAGCCCTATTAAAGTATGTTGTTTGTAGACCTGCTATGAAGTGTGTAGCCCTAAAGTGTGTTGCGCATGTTTGCAGGGAATTCATCAAGTCTGGCTTTATCCAGGAGTGTATGGCCAATGCCAGCCACAGTGACACAGGCAAGAAGTCAACCAACAAAGTGACCAAACAAACAGTAGCAACAGTAGATGGTAGGTGTCTGATGTGGGTGTGGCACTGGGGGGGGGGAGTTTGATGTGGGTGTGTCACTGGGGGAGGAGTTTGATGTGGTTGTGTCACTGGGGGAGGAGTTTGATGTGGGTGTGTCACTGGGGGAGGAGTTTGATGTGGGTGTCACTGGGGGAGGAGTTTGATGTGGGTGTGTCACTGGGGGAGGAGTTTGATGTGGGTGTCACTGGGGGAGGAGTTTGATGTGGGTGTCACTGGGGGAGGAGTTTGATGTGGGTGTCACTGGGGGAGGAGTTTGATGTGGGTGTGTGTCACTGGAAAGAAGTTTGATGTGGGTGTGTCTCTGGGGGAGGAGTTTGATGTAAGTGTGTCACTGGAAAGAAGTTTGATGTGGGTGTGTCACTGGGGGAGGAGTTTGATGTGGGTGTCACTGGAGGTGGAGTTTGATGTGGGTGTCACTGGGGGAGGAGTTTGATGTGGGTGTCACTGGAGGTGGAGTTTGATGTGGGTGTCACTGGGGGAGGAGTTTGATGTGGGTGTCACTGGAGGTGGAGTTTGATGTGGGTGTCACTGGAGGTGGAGTTTGATGTGGGTGTGTGTCACTGGGGGAGGAGTTTGATGTGAGTGTGTCACTGGGGGAGGAGTTTGATGTGGGTGTGTCACTGGAAAGAAGTTTGATGTGGGTGTGTCACTGGGGGAGGAGTTTGATGTGAGTGTGTCACTGGAAAGAAGTTTGATGTGGGTGTGTCACTGGAAAGGAGTTTGATGTGGGTGTGTCACTGGGGGTGGAGTTTGATGTGCGTGTCACTGTACAAATTCTGTACATAAAAAAATATTTCAAAATCAAAATACAACAAATAAATCATCCACATACTAACACAATATATTTATACATAAATTGGAACCCCTCTCTCCATGAGCAATTTTTGTCTAAGCCACTAATGAATGATTGAATGTTGATCAACTACAAATCTTCCAATTGACCTTGCCAGAGACAGCAGTGCATGAACTGACTGATGTGAGCAAGATGCTGGACTTTATCTCCAACAATATTAACCATGAAGCCAGCCTAGCTGAAGGACTGTCCATACTAGCTGACCACCTGAGAGACAATTACAAGGCCCACACTGACGTTGATCAGAAAGCCAGGAGCATGATCATGTTTGCCTTGTGGGACAATATCTTCAATATGGACATCATCATCCCAGGCTGCTACGTCCTCAGTAACTTGGTTGCCTCCAGTCAGCCTAGTGGTTAGTTCAGGTTCTATGGTCTCTGTTTATTTGGTCTCAGTGGTCAGTTCAGTGGTCAGTTCAGTGGTCAGTTCAGCCTCTATGTTGTCTGTTTATTTGGTCTCAGTGGTCAGTTCAGTGGTCACTTCAGTATTTCAGTGGTCAGTTCAGTGGTCACTTCATTGTCTCAGTGGTCAGTTCAGTCTCTATGTTGTCTGTTTATTTGGTCTCAGTGGTCAGTTCAGTGTCGCAGTGGTCAGTTCAGTTTATCTTATTGGCCAGTTCAATTTGTCTAGCGATTGGTTCATTTTGTTTTAGTGGTAAGCTCATTTTGTTTTAGTGGTAAGCTCATTTTGTTTTAGTGGTATGTTCATTTTGTTTTAGTGGTAAGCTCATTTTGTTTTAGTGGTATGTTCATTTTGTTTTAGTGGTAGGTTATGGCCTCAGTGTTGAGTCAGTGCCTTTTGTCCACCATTTCATTTTCAGCTGAGCCGACCTCATTGTTAAGTTCTGAAATCTTCACCTTTACCCAAAAAATTATGACAGTAAGTGCTTTGAGTCACCTTTACCCAAAAAATTATGACAGTAAGTGCCTTGAGTCACCTTTACCCAAAAAATTATGACAGTAAGTGCTTTGAGTCACCTTTACCCAAAAAATTATGACAGTAAGTGCTTTGAGTCACCTTTACCCAAAAAATTATGACAGTAAGTGCTTCGAGTCACCTTTACCCAAAAAATTATGACAGTAAGTGCCTTGAGTCACCTTTACCCAAAAAATTATGACAGTAAGTGCTTTGAGTCACCTTTACCCAAAAAATTATGACAGTAAGTGCTTTGAGTCACCTTTACCCAAAAAATTATGACAGTAAGTGCCTTGAGTCACCTTTACCAAAAAAATTATGACAGTAAGTGCTTTGAGTCACCTTTACCCAAAAAATTATGACAGTAAGTGCTTTGAGTCACCTTTACCCAAAAAATTATGACAGTAAGTGCCTTGAGTCACCTTTACCCAAAAAATTATGACAGTAAGTGCTTTGAGTCACCTTTACCCAAAAAATTATGACAGTAAGTGCTTTGAGTCACCTTTACCCAAAAAATTATGACAGTAAGTGCTTTGAGTCACCTTTACCCAAAAAATTATGACAGTAAGTGCTTTGAGTCACCTTTACCCAAAAAATTATGACAGTAAGTGCTTTGAGTCACCTTTACCCAAAAAATTATGACAGTAAGTGCTTTGAGTCACCTTTACCCAAAAAATTATGACAGTAAGTGCTTCGAGTCACCTTTACCCAAAAAATTATGACAGTAAGTGCCTTGAGTCACCTTTACCCAAAAAATTATGACAGTAAGTGCTTTGAGTCACCTTTACCCAAAAAATTATGACAGTAAGTGCTTTGAGTCACCTTTACCCAAAAAATTATGACAGTAAGTGCTTTGAGTCACCTTTACCCAAAAAATTATGACAGTAAGTGCTTTGAGTCACCTTTACCCAAAAAATTATGACAGTAAGTGCTTTGAGTCACCTTTACCCAAAAAATTATGACAGTAAGTGCTTCGAGTCACCTTTACCCAAAAAAATTATGACAGTAAGTGCCTTGAGTCACCTTTACCCAAAAAATTATGACAGTAAGTGCTTTGAGTCACCTTTACCCAAAAAATTATGACAGTAAGTGCTTTGAGTCACCTTTACCAAAAAAATTATGACAGTAAGTGCTTTGAGTCACCTTTACCCAAAAAATTATGACAGTAAGTGCTTTGAGTCACCTTTACCCAAAAAATTATGACAGTAAGTGCCTTGAGTCACCTTTACCCAAAAAATTATGACAGTAAGTGCTTTGAGTCACCTTTACCCAAAAAATTATGACAGTAAGTGCTTTGAGTCACCTTTACCCAAAAAATTATGACAGTAAGTGCTTTGAGTCACCTTTACCCAAAAAATTATGACAGTAAGTGCTTTAAGTCACCTTTACCCAAAAAATTATGACAGTAAGTGCCTTGAGTCACCTTTACCCAAAAAATTATGACAGTAAGTGCTTTGAGTCACCTTTACCCAAAAAATTATGACAGTAAGTGCTTTGAGTCACCTTTACCCAAAAAATTATGACAGTAAACCTAATTTGATATGACTGCTGTAAGTGTTTACATAAGGTGACCAATCAATTGATGTGAAATACTTTACATCCTAAAGGCTTTTGAATATGAACCAGAAGTTCAGCTTGCAGCCGTTAACTTGATCCTGGCCATTTCAACGGACAGTAAGTTCATTAACCTTATGTTCATCATCACTTTCATCAACATAGACTTCATCCATTCGCAATAAGTTCATTATTAATTTCAATAACAAAGACTTCATCCATTCATTTGTTCATTTATCACTTTCATCAACATAGTTCATCCATTCCCCATACAAGCTCAATATCACGTTCATCAACATAGACCCTCTGTTAAGCATACGTTTTAATATTCTATAACCAGCCCTGCTATTTAGGCAGGGAAAAAAAGCTATACATGATGATAGTAGATAATATATATATCTAGATCCTAGATGTAGTTTCTTACAACTTTTGAGTGATTTTCATTAGCATAAATTGGTACTTTCCACTATTTGAAACTTATCAAAAGTTCTTATCAGAAATGTATTTTATGTTAACTTTTTGGCATTTCTAGAGCTGGCAGTCCAATTTATTTTATGTTAACTTTTTGGCATTTCTAGAGCTGGCAGTCCACCGAGCAGAAGAAAATCACTGTATGAACTTTTTACAAGCTTTTATTTAACTTGCTTCCTCTGTTATCAGTCTGTTGACAGTCTGACTGTCATCACAAATCAAAATGGGCAAACAAAATTTCAGTCACTTTTAACTTTGTTTCTAAGTTGGCATGTGGGTCAAGACTTGAAGACAAAGCAATATGACATTAAATTTGAAAAGCGTGGGTGTGCTCCTACATATTAGTAAAGGTATCCAATGGATAATAAAGTGACCCACGCTTTTCTTTGTAGTTATTTAAATAGTAGTGAATTATTATATATTTAAGGAAAATCATTTATTTTCTACTTTTTAATGCATTATTACATAAAAGCTTGTTATTAAAACTTTTTATTGTGCAATTTTTTTCTTTTTAGAGCTAGCAGCCCAACAAGCAGTAGAAAATGGAGGCATGCATGCCATACTGGTGGCCATGAGGCATTCCAGACACAACGCTACACTCAATGCTTTGAGCTGCATGGCCCTGTGGAGCCTTACCTTGGATGGTAAACATTGTCATGTAGATTCAGTGTCCACCATCCAACTGTCCACCCAACTGACCAGTGTCCACCACCAAAGTGACCAGTGTCCACCACTCAACTGACCAGTGTCCACCACTTTCTGACCAGTGTCCACCACCCAACTGAACAGTGTCCACCACCCCAACTGACCAGTGTCCACCACCCAACTGACCAGTGTCCACCACCCAACTGACCAGTGTCCACCACCCAACTGACCAGTGTCCACCACCCAACTGACCAGTGTCCACCACCCCACTGACCAGTGTCCACCACCCAACTGACCAGTGTCCACCCAACTGACCAGTGTCCACCACCCAACTGACCAGTGTCCACCACCCAACTGACCAGTGTCCACCACCCCACTGACCAGTGTCCACCACCCAACTGATCAGTGTCCACCACCCCACTGACCAGTGTCCACCACCCAACTGACCAGTGTCCACCACCCAATTGACCAGTGTCCACCACCCAACTGACCAGTGTCCACCACCCAACTGACCAGTGTCCACCACCCCACTGACCAGTGTCCACCACCCCACTGACCAGTGTCCACCACCCCACTGACCAGTGCCCACCACCCCACTGACCAGTGTCCACCACCCCACTGACCAGTGTCCACCACCCAACTGACCAGTGTCCACCACCCCACTGACCAGTGTCCACCACCCAACTGACCAGTGTCCACCACCCAACTGACCAGTGTCCACCACCCAATTGACCAGTGTCCACCACCCCACTGACCAGTGTCCACCACCCAACTGACCAGTGTCCACCACTGAACTCAACAGATGAGAACCTAAAGGTTGCTGGCAAAGAGCATGCCGTCAGGGATGTCTGTATTGCCCTGAGCATCCACAAAGTTTCTCCACAGGTCTGTGAGTCTGCTTCAGCATGTCTCATCTCACTGCTACTGGATGGTAAGTCTGGTTGGTTGGTTGGGTTGTTGGCTGGCTGGCTGGCTGGTTGTGTTGTGGTTGGGTTGTTGGCTGGCTGGTTGTGTTGTGGTTGGGTTGTTGGCTGGTTGGTTGGGTTGTTGGGTGGCTGGTTGGCTGGCTGGTTGGGTTGTGGTTGGGTTGTTGGCTGGCTGGTTGGGTTGTGGTTGGGTTGTTGGCTGGCTGGTTGGGTTGTTGGCTGGCTGGTTGGGTTGTTGGCTGGCTGGTTGGGTTGTTGGCTGGCTGGTTGGTTGGGTTGTTGGCTGGCTGGCTGGTTGGGTTGTTGGCTGGCTGGTTGGGTTGTTGGCTGGCTGGTTGGTTGTGTTGTTGGCTGGCTGGTTGGGTTGTTGGCTGGCTGGTTGATTGTGTTGTTGGCTGGCTGGTTGGGTTGTTGGCTGGCTGGTTGGGTTGTTGGCTGGCTGGTTGGGTTGTTGGCTGGCTGGTTGGGTTGTTGGCTGGCTGGTTGGGTTGTTGGCTGGCTGGTTGGTTGGGTTGTTGGCTGGCTGGCTGGTTGGGTTGTTGGCTGGCTGGTTGGGTTGTTGGCTGGCTGGTTGGTTGTGTTGTTGGCTGGCTGGTTGGGTTGTTGGCTGGCTGGTTGATTGGGTTGTTGGCTGGCTGGTTGGGTTGTTGGCTGGCTGGTTGGTTGGGTTGTTGGCTGGCTGGTTGGGTTCTTGGCTGGCTGGTTGGGTTGTTGGCTGGCTGGTTGGGTTGTTGGCTGGCTGGTTGGTTGGGTTGTTGGCTGGCTGGTTGGGTTGTTGGCTGGCTGGTTGGGTTGTTGGCTGGCTGGTTGGGTTGTTGGCTGGCTGGTTGGGTTCTTGGCTGGCTGGTTGGGTTGTTGGCTGGCTGGTTGGTTGGGTTGTTGGCTGGCTGGTTGGGTTGTTGGCTGGCTGGTTGGGTTGTTGGCTGGCTGGCTGGTTGGGTTGTTGGCTGGTTGGTTGAGTTGTTGGCTCGCTGGTTGGTTGGGTTGTTGGCTGGCTGGTTGGTTGGGTTGTTGGCTGGCTGGCTGGTTGGGTTGTTGGTTGGTTGGGTTGTTGGTTGGCTGGTTGGTTGGGTTGTTGGCTGGCTGGCTGGTTGGGTTGTTGGCTGGTTGGGTTGTTGGTTGGCTGGCTGGTTGGGTTGTTGGCTGGCTGGTTGGGTTGTTGGGCTGTAGCTAGGAGGTTGGGTTGTAGCTAGGTGGTTGGTTTGTAGGTTGGGTTGTAGCAAGGCAGTTAGGTTGTTGGTGGGTTGTGGGCTGGATGGTTGGGTTGTAGCTAGGTGGTTGGGTTGTAGCTAGGTGGTTGGGTTGTAGCAAGGCAGTTAGGTTGTTGGTGGGTTGTAGCTGAGTGGTTGTGTTGTAGACAAATTGTTTGGTTGGTTGTGAATGTAGCATAAACTGAAAGTAAACCACCCAGTATGTCATGTGTGACACAATGTTTGACCATGTAAACCACCCAGTATGTCATGTGTGACACAATGTTTGACCATGTAAACCACTCAGTATGTCATGTGTGACACAATGTTTGACCATCACCAGAGACCTGCTACGACCCCTTCAATGAACTGGACTGTGTGGGCAACCTCATCTATGCCATCCACTTGCACACTGAGTGTGTCAAAGTTGTCAAAAACTGTTGTAAAGTTTTGTCCATTGTTGTGGAAGCTAATGGTCAGTACACACTTTTTTTTATTCACCTGTAGTCCATTTACATGCCACTAGTACTTGCCTGGCTTATGCCAGTTGTACATGCTGGGCCCTGGCCAGTTGTACATGCTGGGCCCTGGCCAGTTGTACATGCTGCGCCCTGGCCAGTTGTACATGCTGGGCCCTGGCCAGTTGTACATGCTGGGCCCTGGCCAGTTGTACATGCTGGGCCCTGGCCAGTTGTACATGCTGGGCCCTGGCCAGTTGTACATGCTGGGCCCTGGCCAGTTGTACATGCTGGGCCCTGGCCAGTTGTACATGCTGGGCCCTGGCCAGTTGTACATGCTGGGCCCTGGCCAGTTGTACATGCTGGGCCCTGGCCAGTTGTACATGCTGGGCCCTGGCCAGTTGTACATGCTGGGCCCTGGCCAGTTGTACATGCTGGGCCCTGGCCAGTTGTACATGCTGGGCCCTGGCCAGTTGTACATGCTGGGCCCTGGCTAGTTGTACATGCTGAGCCTGGCTACTAGTACATTTTGGAAGGACCACACAACTTTACCTTCTATTTTTACCTCAGCTGAATGCGCGTATAGATTTTTGACCAGTGCTGAATCAGACAAAACTCCCCGTGGTATTCCTACAATAGTAGCTGCATACAGCTACCACAAGGACAATGCTATGGTGGTGGAGAGTATTGTCAGGCTTTTGTTGGAGCTCTCTAACTATGGTTAGTATTGTCAGGCTTTTGTTGGAGCTGTCTAACTATGGTTAGTATTGTCAGGCTTTTGTTGGAGCTCTCTATGGTTAGTATTGTCAGGCTTTTGTTGGAGCTCTCTAACTATGGTTAGTATTGTCAGGCTTTTGTTGGAGCTCTCTAACTATGGTTAGTATTGTCAGGCTGTGGCTATAGTCAGACATGTCACTCTGTTGTTGTTGCTCTCTCTGTTGTAATAATGTAAGATAACCCTTCTAGATAAGAGATATTAGCTGATGCCTGTTTACTGTTAGCTCCTCCCATGCTAATGTGTTAGCTCCTTCCAAGCTGAAATGCTAGCTTCTCCTAAGCTGAAGTGCTAGCTCCACCCATGCTGAAGTGCTAGCCCCTCCCATGCTGAAGTGTTAGCTCCTCCCATGCTGAAGTTTTAGCTCCTCCCATGCTGAAGTGTTAGCTCCTCCCATGCTGAAGTTTTAGCCCCTCCCATGCTGAAGTGTTAGCTCCTCCCATGCTGAAGTGTTAGCTCCTCCCATGCTGAAGTTTTAGCCCCTCCCATGCTGAAGTGTTAGCTCCTCCCACGCTCAAGTTTTAGCTCCTCCCATGCTGAAGTGTTAGCTCCTCCCATGCTGATGTGTTAGATCCTCCCATATGTTAGCTCCTCCCATGCTGATGTGCTAGCTCCTCCCATGCTGATGTGTTAGCTCCTCCCATACTGATGTACTAGCCCCACCCATGCTGAAGTGTTAGCTCCTCCCCTGCTGATAGCAAGTGTTGTGCTTGTAGATGACATCAACTCTGAGATGCAAGCAGCCATGATAGCACAGACCCTATTACTGGAGATACACAACAGATACAGAGAAAACAAGGTAGGCGTGGCACAGGGAGGGGTCATGTCCACTCTAATGGTGGAAGGGAGGGGTCATGTCCAATCTAATGGTGGAAGGGAGGGGTCATGGCTAATCTAATGACGGAAGGGAGGGGTCATGTCCACTCTAATGGTGGAAGGGAGGGGTCATGTCCACTCTAATGACGGAAGGGAGGGGTCATGTCCACTCTAATGGTGGAAGGGAGGGGTCATTTCTAATCTAATGGTGGAAGGGAGGGGTACAGGACATTATGGGCCTCCTGTACTAATGCCTACTTGAACCTCCCCCCCCCCCACAGGACAGTATGGGCCCCCTGTACTAATGCCTACTTGAACCTCCCCCCCCCCCACAGGACAGTATGGGCCCCCTGTACTAATGCCTACTTGAACCTCCCCCCCCCCCCACAGGACAGTATGGGCCCCCTGTACTAATGCCTACTTGAACCTCCCCCCCCCCCACAGGACAGTATGGGCCCCCTGTACTAATGCCTACTTGAACCTCCCCCCCCCCCCCACAGGACAGTATGGGCCCCCTGTACTAATGCCTACTTGAACCTCCCCCCCCCCCCCACAGGACAGTATGGGCCCCCTGTACTAATGCCTACTTGAACCTCCCCCCCCCCCCCACAGGACAGTATGGGCCCCCTGTACTAATGCCTACTTGAACCTCCCCCCCCCCCCACAGGACAGTATGGGCCCCCTGTACTAATGCCTACTTGAACCTCCCCCCCCCCACAGGACAGTATGGGCCCCCTGTACTAATGCCTACTTGAACCTCCCCCCCCCCCCCACAGGACAGTATGGGCCCCCTGTACTAATGCCTACTTGAACCTCCCCCCCCCCCCACAGGACAGTATGGGCCCCCTGTACTAATGCCTACTTGAACCTCCCCCCCCCCACAGGACAGTATGGGCCCCCTGTACTAATGCCTACTTGAACCCCCCCCCAGGACATTATGGGCCCCCTGTACTAATGCCTACTTGAACCTCCCCCCCCCCACAGGACAGTATGGGCCCCCTGTACTAATGCCTACTTGAACCTCCCCCCCCCCCACAGGACAGTATGGGCCCCCTGTACTAATGCCTACTTGAACCTCCCCCCCCCCCACAGGACATTATGGGCCCCCTGTACTAATGCCTACTTGAACCTCCCCCCCCCAGGACATTATGGGCCCCCTGTACTAATGCCTACTTGAGCCCCCCCCCCCCAGGACATTATGGGCCCCCTGTACTAATGCCTACTTGAACCCCCCCCCCAGGACATTATGGGCCCCCTGTACTAATGCCTACTTGAACCCCCCCCCCCCCCCAGGACATTATGGGCCCCCTGTACTAATGCCTACTTGAACCCCCCCCCCCAGGGCATTATGGGCCCCCTGTACTAATGCCTACTTGAGCCTCTATTTCAAACCTCTCCCCCAGGACATTATGGGCCCCCTGTACTAATGCCTACTTGAGCCTCTATTTCAAACCTCTCCCCCAGGACATTATGGGCCCATGTGAGCTGGCCCTAGAGAAACTTGGCTCCCCCCAGACCGTGATGAAAAATTCCGCCATGGGCCTGCAGGTGGCCCCACCCAGCAGGCTGTACAGGTTTGAGGGGGAGGTGCAGAGCTCGTGCAGACAGCTGCTCAGCAGGTGGCACAGAGACTCGATGCTAGCGCAGGGCCAGAAAGCCAAGATCAACGCCGAGCTCAACACGCGCATGAAGATGAAGAAGAAACCCAAGCCTTCCATGACATCATTCTGACCCCAGCTCATGACACCTCGGCTGGTTGACTCATCCACCTTTCTCACATTCACCCCTGTTAGAGCCATTGAGAGCAGCAGTGTTGCGTGTGTTTGACGGCAGCACGCCATCATGTTGTCATGTCTGTCCCATTTGTCTTAGTGTGTGACAGAATACTGGACCATCTGCACGTCTGGCAGGGACAGAGTTGTTTGGTTCTTATCAACATCAACGTGTTGTTACAGTTTGGTTCTTATCAACATCAACGTGTTGTTACACCATTGTTCAATCCATTGTGTCGACTGACAACATGGTCGACTGACTTTGTCGACTGACATCACTGGGTCAACGGACAGACACCACTGGATGACAGGTTGTAAGGGGGTGGACTGGCTAGTTTAGAATGCTTTTGTGTGGCTGTGCTATTTTTAGACTACTCAAGTTTTGGTGACCTCAAATTTTGATAAAGTATAATTTATATTGAATAATTTAATTTCCTTACAAATACAAATTTAGTTCTTTGTTTTTAATTGTATGGTGTCTTCAGTGTTATGGGAATGTCAGTGGTATTTGTATCTTCAATGTCATGGGAATATAGCCGAGTGGTATGTATCTAATGTCATTGGAATGGAGCTGAGCTGACCATGGCATTGGTTAGGTGGTAACACAATGGTGGGGATAGTTGAAGAAAAGCAGTCGTCATTTATTTGATTAACTCGGGTTCGTAGAGCTGATTGTTCAAACAGTTCACAGACTACATTACAAAGGGGAAGCTACTCTAAATAACGATGATTGATGAAACGCCTAAAAACATTTTGACATGCTATATGATTATATTATACGAGCCGGCCCGCGGCATAACATACGCCGCTATTTAGTTGTTTTTTCTACTTTTCAGTAATTCATAATTTGTGAATTCGACAGTACCAATGCTGCTACTGAAAATATTTCTTTTAAACACTATAAGCAGCTCGTTAAGGACCATAACCCACCCCCCTTCCTCCCCCCCCCCCCCCCCCGTCGTTTAAAATCGTTGGCTCTGCTTGTAAACATTTAGAGTGAACACAGCTCACTAAAACCATGTAGGGGTGGGGAGGTAGGGAGAGCGTTTGCAGCTTGTTTTCTAACGGCTCGAAGAGGAGAATTATATATATAGAAGATTGATAAAAAGAAAATAGATCTTTGTGTAAGTAGGAAACTTTCTCCCCCATAAGTCACTACACTATTAACTAAACACATTAAAAGAATACGTGGTGATTAAATTAAAAAAAAAACAACCTGCAGAAATGTTTACCTGTGTTAATTTAAAAGTTGGTAGGGTCTACTTGTCTAAATAATAACAGTGAACATATCGTGTAGAATTATCCCCACAAATTTGTAAAAAAACGTAATTTGTTTATGCAAAAATATTGCATTATATTTATAACTACAATTGTAATGACCATTTGTTATTTAAAAATAGCTTATTAAAATTATAATAAAAATCATACATTAGTAATGAATGAAAGTATCCGGCTCAAACTGAGCCACCTTGAAGTCGAATACAGTAAAATGGTTGATAACTCATTAGTCAAGTAGACCGAAACATAAAAGAGGATGTGGCCATTGGCGATGTTTTAAAGCAGGCTCCTGAGTTGTGCTCAAGTTTAATACTAATACATGGTACTTAGGGCCGAGTTACAGAAAGGGGAATTAAAACGTGGAGTCAAATGTTTATTCTGCTATATTTTTAAAATTCAAAACAAAACAAGACTTCTCCAATGGCGATGGTTCTATGTTTTGTCTGAGCTTGGTATACCGGCCAGGCGTAGAGTCAGGTGTGTTTATAGCGCCGCCCCACCTGGATTCGAACTCTGGCAGGAGACATGAGGTGTCTGTTGTGGCCTAATCCACTCGACCACCACGCGAGCGTGACGATTAATCGCTGCAAGTTCTTCATTGCTCAGGGCGTTATCATACCATACGGCTTCAAGTCCCAGAATATTTCACTATTGAGAACTGACCAATCATAGCCACAATATTTGATTATAAAATTGATAGTCCCTAAAAATAGCCGAGTATGTAGGTCAACAGGGACTAAAAACTGGGGGATTTAATCAGGGCTCAAATAAATGTTCTTATAAAGACATTAAATCTGTGCTGCTGATGAACTTTAACGTTTATGATTTGAGGGTCCAAGACAGTGACACGCCAGAGGCTGACAGAGGCTTGTGTGAGGGACAGTTGTACATGTTTACTGATGGAGGTCTGCTACCATCTGTTTGGTTGGCTGGATGGGTGGCAAGACCAGGGTTCGAATCCTCTCCAGACGAGTAGGTGAAGCTGTGGCGGTAACGGGCGATAAGTTTTTCATTCGTGGCAGGACGGCAGTGTCACTGTCCGTGGAGAGGTTTGTCAGCCTTCCCCCACCCTTGCTGGAAACTGTTGTTCCCGGACGTGTGGTTCCATCAGCCAACTCTGGAACAGCGCCGCCATTTTTCTCGGCCTCCTGCGCCCTGAGCAGCTCAGCCTTGAAGCGGCTGGGGATGAGCCCGGCCAGGCGGCCCAGCGGGTTGTCCTCCAAGTATTTCTTCACCGTGCCGAACGGGTCGGGGAAGTCTCCGTCCCTGGGGCCGTCGTCCTCCCCCACCAGCAGCCCCCCGACCCTTCTGTACCTGGCTCTGTTGGGGGGCGGGGCTGGTCTGCGGGTCTGGGCGTGTCTCTTCATGTCGTCCTGGAGGTCCTGGAAGAATTGGCCCATCCTGTCTCTGACGTCACTCTCTTGGAGAATCTCGCCTTGCTGAGGAAACAAGTCAAGTCAGTCAGCACGGGATAAATATTAACATCATAGTGATATCAGTCTTACAATGTTGACACGGTATACAATAATCATAGTGATATCAGTGTTACAATGTTGACACGGTATACAATAATCATAGTGATATCAGTCTTACAATGTTGACACGGTATACAATAATCATAGTGATATCAGTGCTACAATGTTGACACGGTATACAATAATCATAGTGATATCTGTCTTACAATGTGGACACGGTATACAATAATCATAGTGATATCAGTGTTACAATGTTGACACGGTATACAATAATCATAGTGATATCAGTCTTACAATGTTGACACGGTATACAATAATCATAGTGATATCAGTGTTACAATGTTGACACGGTATACAATAATCATAGTGATATCAGTCTTACAATGTGGACACGGTATACAATAATCATAGTGATATCAGTCTTACAATGTTGACACGGTATACAATAATCATAGTGATATCAAGTCTTACAATGTGGACACGGTATACAATAATCATAGTGATATCAGTCTTACAATGTTGACACGGTATACAATAATCATAGTGATATCAATACCAGTCTTACAATGTTGACACGGTATACAATAATCATAGTGATATCAAGTCTTACAATGTGGACACGGTATACAATAATCATAGTGATATCAAGTCTTACAATGTGGACACGGTATACAATAATCATAGTGATATCAAGTCTTACAATGTGGACACGGTATACAATAATCATAGTGATATCAGTCTTACAATGTTGACACGGTATACAATAATCATAGTCATATCAGTCTTACAATGTTGACACGGTATACAATAATCATAGTGATATCAGTCTTATAATGTGGACACGGTATACAATAATGATAGTGATATCAGTCGTACAATGTTGACACGGTATACAATAATCATAGTGATATCAGTCGTACAATGTTGACACGGTATACAATAATGATAGTGATATCAGTCGTACAATGTTGACACGGTATACAATAATCATAGTGATATCAGTCTTACAATGTTGACACGGTATACAATAATGATAGTGATATCAGTCGTACAATGTTGACACGGTATACAATAATCATAGTGATATCAATATCAGTGTTACAATGTTGACACGGTAAAGAATAACAATATCCCACGCTTAATTAACACTTCTCCATTTACAATACTAACCAACTCCACAACCATAACTTTGTCACTCCCCGCACCACCGATATGGTTTACCATCCCACCGACACCACATATGAGACTGACACCAGTCCCCCCCCCCCCATGAGACTGACCATCAGACCCCAGTCCCCCCCCATGAGACTGACCATCAGACCCCCCCCCTACCCCCATGAAACTGACCATCAGACACCTGTCCCCCCACCCCCCATGAAACTGACCATCAGACCCCCCACCCCCATGAGACTGACCACCAGACCCCCCACCCCCTTGAGACTGACCATCAGACACCTGTCCCCCACCCCCATGAGACTGACCATCAGACCCCCCATGAGACTGACCATCAGACTCCCCCCCCATGAGACTGACCATCAGACACCTGTCCCCCCCCCATGAGACTAACCATCAGACCGCCCCCCCCCCCATGAAGCTGACCATCAGACCCGCCCCACCCCCCACCCCCATGAGACTGACCATCAGACACCTGTCTCCCACCCCCATGAGACTGACCATCAGACACCTGTCCCCCACCCCCATGAGACTGACCATCAGACACCCACCCCCATGAGACTGACCATCAGACCACCCACCCCCATGAGACTGACCATCAGACCACCCACCCACCCCCATGAGACTGACCATCAGACACCCCCCCCCCGCCCATGAGACTGACCATCAGACCACCCACCCACCCCCATGAGACTGACCATCAGACACCTGTCCCCCCCCCCAATGAGACTGACCATCAGACACCTGTCCCCCACCCCCCTATGAAACTGACCATCAAACACCTGTCCCCCCCCCCATGAGACTGAAGATCAAACACCTGTCCCCCCCCCATGAAACTGACCATCAGACACCTGTCTCCCACCCCCATGAGACTGACCATCATACACCTGTCCCCCACCCCCATGAGACTGACCATCAGACACCTGTCCCCCCCCCCCATGAGACTGACCATCAGACCCCCCTACCCCCATGAAACTGACCATCAGACCCCCCCCCTTATGAAACTGACCATCAGACACCTGTCCCCCCATGAAACTGACCATCAGACACCTGTCCCCCCCCCATGAAACTGACCATCAGACACCTGTCCCCACGCCCATGAGACTAACCATCATACACCCCCCCCCGCCCATGAGACTGACCATCAGACACCCCCACCCCCATGAGACTGACCATCAGACCACCCCCACCCCCATGAGACTGACCATCAGACACTTGTCCCCCCCCCCCATGAGACTGACCATCAGACCCCACCCCCATGAGACTGACCATCAGACACCCCCACCCCCATGAGACTGACCATCAGACCCCCCCCCATGAAACTGACCATCAGACACCTGTCCCCCCATGAAACTGACCATCAGACACCTGTCCCCCCCCCATGAAACTGACCATCAGACACCTGTCCCCACGCCCATGAGACTAACCATCATACACCCCCCCCCCGCCCATGAGACTGACCATCAGACACCCCCACCCCCATGAGACTGACCATCAGACCACCCCCACCCCCATGAGACTGACCATCAGACACCTGTCCCCCACCCCCATGAGACTGACCATCAGACCACCCACCCCCATGAGACTGACCATCAGACCACCCACCCCCATGAGACTGACCATCAGACCACCCACCCCCATGAGACTGACCATCAGACACCTGTCCCCCCCCCCATGAGACTAACCATCAGACCGCCCCCCCCCATGAAGCTGACCATCAGACCCGCCCCACCCCCCACCCCCATGAGACTGACCATCAGACACCTGTCCCCCACCCCCATGAGACTGACCATCAGACCACCCACCCCCATGAGACTGACCATCAGACCACCCACCCACCCCCATGAGACTGACCATCAGACCACCCACCCACCCCCATGAGACTGACCATCAGACCACCCCCCCCCATGAGACTGACCATCAGACCACCCACCCACCCCCATGAGACTGACCATCAGACACCCCCCCCCCCGCCCATGAGACTGACCATCAGACCACCCACCCACCCCCATGAGACTGACCATCAGACACCTGTCCCCCCCCCCCCAATGAGACTGACCATCAGACACCTGTCCCCCACCCCCCTATGAAACTGACCATCAAACACCTGTCCCCCCCCCATGAGACTGAAGATCAAACACCTGTCCCCCCCCCATGAAACTGACCATCAGACACCTGTCTCCCACCCCCATGAGACTGACCATCATACACCTGTCCCCCACCCCCATGAGACTGACCATCAGACACCTGTCCCCCCCCCCATGAGACTGACCATCAGACCCCCCTACCCCCATGAAACTGACCATCAGACCCCCCCCTTATGAAACTGACCATCAGACACCTGTCCCCCCATGAAACTGACCATCAGACACCTGTCCCCCCCCCATGAAACTGACCATCAGACACCTGTCCCCACGCCCATGAGACTAACCATCATACACCCCCCCCCCCCCGCCCATGAGACTGACCATCAGACACCCCCACCCCCATGAGACTGACCATCAGACCACCCCCACCCCCATGAGACTGACCATCAGACACTTGTCCCCCCCCCATGAGACTGACCATCAGACCCCACCCCCATGAGACTGACCATCAGACACCCCCACCCCCATGAGACTGACCATCAGACCCCCCCCCATGAAACTGACCATCAGACACCTGTCCCCCCATGAAACTGACCATCAGACACCTGTCCCCCCCCCCATGAAACTGACCATCAGACACCTGTCCCCACGCCCATGAGACTAACCATCATACACCCCCCCCCCGCCCATGAGACTGACCATCAGACACCCCCACCCCCATGAGACTGACCATCAGACCACCCCCACCCCCATGAGACTGACCATCAGACACTTGTCCCCCCCCCCCATGAGACTGACCATCAGACCCCACCCCCATGAGACTGACCATCAGACACCCCCACCCCCATGAGACTGACCATCAGACCCCCCCCCCCATGAAACTGACCATCAGACACTGTCCCCCCATGAAACTGACCATCAGACCCCCCCACCCCCCATGAGACTGACCATCAGACACCCCCCCCCATGAGACTGACCATCAGACACCTGTCTCTGGTCCTCTCCACCAGTCTCCGCCGCCTCAGGCTGGGGTGGTACCAGGCGATCCTCTCCTCCGTCTCCCTGTGGATATCCTGCAGGGTTTGACCTGCATACCTGCCTAGGTTGTTCGTCTGACTCGATGTTGCCTGCGAGGAAATTCACCTGGTTAAACATCAAAGTGACCAAGGTGTAACGTCCGGAGATGACGTCACGCTCATTGTACTGAAGAAATGTGACGTAACGTTCATTGTGTTATTCTTGGAGACACCTGTCTCACCTGTTTCCTCATGTCCACACACCTGTCTGTCTCACCTGTTTCCTCATGTCCACACACCTGTCTGTCTCACCTGTTTCCTCATGTCCACACACCTGTCTGTCTCACCTGTTTCCTCATGTCCACACACCTGTCTGTCTCACCTGTTTCCTCATGTCCACACACCTGTCTGTCTCACCTGTTTCCTCATGTCCACACACCTGTGTGTCTCACCTGTTTCCTCATGTCCACACCTGTCTGTCTCACCTGTTTCCTCATGTCCACACACCTGCCTGTCTCACCTGTTTCCTCATGCCCACACACCTGTCTGTCTCCTCATGTCCACACACCTGTCTCACCTGTCTCCTCATGTCCACACACCTGTGTGTCTCACCTGTTTCCTCACGTCCATACAATGCAGCAGAACCCTCTGTCTGACCGCCGCTTGCCTGGCCAGTACCGTCTCGGTGGACATCCTGGCCTTGACCTTGTGTTCATGACGTGTCAGCCAGCTCTCGTTCATGGCCTGGGGAAATCTGATTGGTCAGTCAACATAGACAGGATACAACCGATCCTAACCCAATCCCACTTGTCCAAGCGCCACATATCTTGTACAACTGTCCTACACCTGTCCTACACCTCTACCACATATGTCTAACACCAGTCCTACACCTGCCCATCACATGTCCTACAACTGCCCTACACCAGTCCTACACCTGCCTTACACCTGTCCCACACCTGTCCTTCACATGTCCTATACCTGTCCTACACCTACACATGCCCTACACCAGTCCTACACCTGTCCTACAATGTCCTACACCTGCCCATCACATGTCCTACACCTGCCCTACACCTGTCCTACAATGTCCTACACCTGTCCTACACCTGTCCAACACCTGTCCTACACCAGTCCTACACCTGTCCTACACCAGTCCTACATCTGCCCTACACCAGTCCTACACCAGTCCTACATCTGCCCTACACCAGTCCTACACCAGTCTTACATCTGCCCTACACCTGCCCTACACCTGCCCATCACATGTCCCTCACATGTCCTACACGTCCTACACCTGTCCTACACCTGTCTACACCTGCCCTACACCTGTCCTACACAAGTCCTACACCTGCCCTACACCTGTCCTACACCTGTCCTACACCTGTCCTACACATGTCCTACACCTGTCCTACACCTGTCCTACACATGTCCTACACATGTCCACCTGCCCTACACCTGTCCTACACATGTCCTACATCTGTCCTACACCTGTCCTACACCTGTCCTACACATGTCCTACACCTGTCCTACACATGTCCTACACATGTCCTACACATGTCCGCCTGTCCTACACCAGTCCTACACCTGTCCTACACATGTCCTACTCCTGCCCTACACCTGCCCTACACATGTCCTACACCTGTCCACCTGTCCTACACCTGTCCTACACCAGTCCTACACCTGTCCTACACCAGTCCTACACCAGTCCTACACCTGTCCTACACCAGTCCTACACCTGTCCTACACCAGTCCTACACCTGTCCTACACCTGTCCTACACCAGTCCTACACCAGTCCTACACCAGTCCTACACCTGTTCTACACCTGTCCTACACCTGTCCTACACCTGTCCTACACATGTCCTACACCTGCCCACCACTTTACAAACGTACCTGTCTGTTCCGGATGATCTCATTCATGACGTACGTCATACGACGGTTGCGTCTAGCATGACGTCTGACTAACCCTAACCTGCCGTCATCCATTGGTCGTCTGCTGGCTCTCCTGTAGTGGGATTACGTCATCATACGTCCTGCTATGGATTTTAACATATCTATTTCACTACTGATATATTTTGATACTTATCTATTATATCACTGATATATTTTGATATTTATCTATTTTACAGCTAATATATTTTGAAACCTATCTATTTAATCACTGATATATTTTGATACTTATCTATTTTATCACTGATATATTTTGATACTTATCTATTTTATCACTGATATATTTTGATACTTATCATGTTTTACCAAACATATGTTCTGATACTTCTCTATTTACTACTGGTATATTTTGATACTTATCTATTTTACAACTGATATAATTTGATACTTGTCTATTTTACAACTGATATATTTTGACAGTTATCTATTTTACAACTGAACTATTAAACACTAGTAGTTTAGAATAAAATTCACCCCCTCCCCCAATTAAAAAAACGCCCTAATGATGTAGATGTAGACATTATTGTACGGCAATAATTCTTCTGTGACAGCATATTCCACGTGTCAAAACATCTTACCATACCTGGTCTAAAAATTCATGACGTTATAGCTACTAAATACATGTTATAACAACCGTGACGTTATAGCTACTAAATACATGTTATAACAACCATGACGTTATAGCTACTAAATACATGTTATAACAACCATGACGTTATAGCTACTAAATACATGTTATAACAACCATGACGTTATAGCTACTAAATACATGTTATAACAACCAGCTCCCTTTGATAGCAAATTAAACGTTAGACCAACTCACCTGTTCACTAGCTACAACTGCTTTTAATTCCTCCCCTGGAATGATCGAATGCCAAGCCTTCACCTCCAGCCCCCCCCCCCCCCCCCCTCCCCCTTTGATTAACTACAAACGATGTCGTTAGCCTCCCCTCATAGCGCCAGAAACACTGGGTAAGGAGACACCTGTCTAATGGGCCGTGGGGGTCGGGGGGGCGGGCCTAATTGCCATCAAATAAACGACGGTTGATTGAGTCAAGCACAGAAAAACAAGACAGCGGTCCCGGCCGTTATTTGATCTGATCGATTTGATATGGGAATAAGATAGTCTGCGGGATCGGGGGCTAAGTGGACTTCATGACAGTCTGAACAGTGCAAAGTTAGATCAGTTGATGCATTCGGTAGATAAATTGGAGTTGGAATATTGAGGGGGGGGGGGGTGGTGGGAAGGGGGGGAGTACGATTTCTAACCTAACATTTCCCAGAACAGGTGAAGCAGAGTAAATCTGTATGTCTGCAGCACTTTACTATACTGTGATTACTTTTTAGATGACGTCGGCTATCCATACGGGCTGCCCGGTGGACTAAACCCAGGTACCCAATAGAGCTGAGTGACCTCAGTGATGCTCTGTAAACTCCAGCTGATCTGTGCTGGTCACGTGATCAAGACAACAACAAACTTGTCAGGGCCGGCGCTATCTTAAGACGGTCGCCTAGGGCGCTATCTATAAGACGGTCGCCTAGGGCGCTATCTATAAGACGGTCGCCTAGGGCGCTATCTATAAGACGGTCGCCTAGGGCGCTATCTATATGACGAACTAGACAGTCGCCTAGGGCGCTATCCATAGGAAGGCGCAAAAATGTGTAGTCGCCATTTTTAAAAGTAAAACTTCATATTATATAAACTATATACAAAGGCGTAGCAATCTATTTCGGTACCTTGGACGAACTATCAATTTTGCGCCCCCCCCCCCCCTCCTCAAATCAAGCATATATATAGTTTTTTGCTTTGTTGAAAATACGTTCCCCCACCCCACCTCCCTCATTTGGAAAGGTTGTGCTCGTTTTATCAGTCACTTTGCCTTTCTGTTTAGGTTTCACACAACTGATGTAGAAAACAATTAAATAAGTCCGTTATGCCAAGTAACAGTCAACATTCTTTATTTTGACTGCATATAATTCAGTAATTAGCTTTTAACATTAGTATCTGCCTATCTATCTATGTATTATTAGCGCCCTTTGGGTCGGTGCCTGTGGCGGCCGCCCCACCCACCCTCCTCTAGCCACGCCTCTGTTAACATAATGAGATAATTAGTGTATTTTAATGTAATTCTTTTAATTTCAAACATTTGAGATGATTATCTGATTTAGATATACATTAGCCGTCCCGACCAGGCCCTGCCCTGGCCTCTGTGAAAAACCTATCTGTAAAGGACCATGACTTGTGTGTTTAGTAATTAGCATATACCCGGGATTGCCTGGGTTTATGAAATATATTACATTTCGAATTAACCCTAACCATAACCAACCAAAACACAAAAACGCAAACATAACACAAACGCACACACAAACACAAACGAAAACACAAACGCACGCACAAACACAAACGAAAACACAAACCAAACCACAAAGGCAAAAACAAACATAAAGAAAACAAAAAACAAACGTAAACAAAAAAAGCTAAAGAACACAAATTCAAACGCAAACATAAACCCACATACAAACGCAAACCCACACCCAAAGAAAACACAAACGCACTAAAAAAAGCAAACACACGCAAATACAAATAGAAACACACACGCTAACCTAAACGCAAACAATAACTCAAAATAATGCGAAAGTAAACGCAAACATAAACACAAACTTAAATGCAAACATTCTAGCCCGGGCCGCCAAATCGCACCATGATGGGGCACCGGCGGAACCGCCTGATTCAACTTAGTAAACGACTATAGTACCCCAACTTATTCATAGTCTTTTGCACTCACTTAAACGAACGTAGGCGCCATAGCGAACACGAGAAGGCCCGGGGCCCCAAATAGCACCTTTTCGGGGCGCCGGAGGACGCCCGGATTCGATTCAGTTAAAGACAATAGTAACCTTTCTTATCCATAGTCTATCGAACTATTTAAAACGAAATTATGCACCATAGCGCTCACAGGATAGCCCAGGGCGCCAAATCGAACCCTGCCGGGGCGCCTGATTCAATTTAGTTAACGATTATGATACCCCAGCTTATCCGCCAACCGAAAGATAGAAGTAACATAAAGGACATTTAGGAGCGGCTCCTAAACTGTTATTGATTTCAAGTAAACAGTACGTTCAATGTATAGAATAAATAAAAGGCAGTATTTTAAAATATCTGTGTTTCACTCACCACATTGCACTTGATCAATCCACGCTAATTATGGAATTATTTTTTCCCCATTACCAAAACAAAGTAATAAAAAGTAAATCCCCCCCCCCTCGATGTAATGGGTTTTTAAAGGAAAGTAATTGTGTTTTCCTAATTTATCAAGGGACGTAATTCATGCTCAAGGACTAAATGAAAATAATTTTCAGACACAGTTGAAATTTTTTTTACCTAAATAACCTGGCGCCGGCATTGATTTCAAGCATTGGGACACACTCTGATCTTTCTTATCCAAACACTGTAACAAAGTCTGGGATCTTTGTTTTCCAGCCATAGAACAAAAGCTGCATGGCTCAAGGCAGCCAACCATAGAACAAAAGCTGCATGGCTCAAGGCAGCCAACCATAGAACAAAACCTCGGGGGACCCTGTCATAGCTCAAGGCAGCCAACCATGACGTCACACGGACAGAACTCAGTCATGCGAGACTTCCTGGTCTAGCAGTCGGCAGGTGAAGTAGATTCCAGCACTAATCAGTGTCAGACTACCGGGTCTAGCAGTCGGTAGGTGAAGTAGATTCTAGTACTGATCAAATGTCCCCGCCTCTGTATGTCGCCTCTGTCTGTCGCCTCTGTCTGTCGCCTCTGTCTGTCGCCTCTGTCTGTCGCCTCTGTATGTCATGCTCTCTGATGATAAAACCTGTTTCCTGTACTTAATCGCAATGTGTAATGTTTATTAGCTGATATAATGAAAAAAAAACCCACTGTACTAAACTCTCTTCATCTATCGTTTAATTCATAATTCTATTGTATATGTTACATTATTAATTGGCTCCATAGTCTAATAGACCATTGAATGATTGGCTGTATCAGACCCTCTCTCTACAAAGAAGCCCATGTATCAGACCCCTCTCTCCACAGAAGCCCATGTATCAGACCCCTCTCTCCACAGAAGCCCATGTATCAGACCCCCTCTCTCCACAGAAGCCCATGTATCAGACCCCCCTCTCTCCATGGGCAGAATGTGTCACATTAAAACATTACAAATTAAATCAAATATCCAAACTTGTATGGATGTTTTATCCAAACTTGTATGGATGTTTTATCCAAACTTGTATGGATGTTTTATCCAAACTTGTATGGATGTTTTACCTGAAAACAAAGCTAACAAAAATGTATGACCATAAGAAACAGATTTCAAGAAATAGCCGTTTTGTCCGCACGCAAAAAGCAAACAAAATCTACTTAAAATAAGGAAAAAAAAATTGAATAAAACGAACAAAAGGCAAGTATTACCGCGGTGAAGCGGCGGAGATTAGCTAGAAGGGTGTACATCACTTTACAATCAACATAAATATTCCTACCACGTCCCTTTAGATGTGGCGCTAAGCCGATAAAGGACCGCATTCTGTGGTTGGCCAAGCGTTGTATTGGAGTGTCACGTGGGAAGCCAGACCAAAGAACGCCGGTCTAACAAACACAAGCAAAAGTATGGACACGCCCGAATGCTTGTTTACAGGCCCGGAGACTGCTAGACACACAGACGACTGGATGGTGTTGGCTTGATGGTGCTGGCTTGATGGTGCTGTCTTGGTACCTGGGATCCTTCACGTTCTCATACTGGTAAGTCCACTCAGTTATACAGGCGCCATGCCTGACTTCATAGGATTTTTTCTGTTGAAAGATCTTTGGTCAAAGACAGCCAAAAGTAGAGATTTCCAGAGACAAAAAGTCAATTTTAAATTTCAGTTTTGGCTTTTAAGGACAACCTATATATATATATATATATATATATATATATATATATATATATATATATATATATATATATATATATATATATATATATATATATATATATATATATATATATATATATATATATATATATATATATATATATAAATTTAAATGAGTGTGTGTGTAAGATCTTAACAAATCTCACACCACACTGAAAATGTAGAGTTTACCGACACGCACGAAGCCAGACCTTGGATATGATGTACATGTGTTACTTACCTGAAGTGTTTATACAATTAACTTCCTGCTTGCTAGCGGCTTAACAGGTAATGTTGAAGAAAATTGTCCACCTGAACACACCTGTACATGTACAGAGACATCTGTACACACACGTACACATATTCACACAGACAACTAGACACACTGCGATTGAAAAACGTAAATATGTTTTAGCCCTAACCAAACCTCTTAGCCCTAACCAAACCTGTTAGCCCTAACCGTTACTGTATTAAACTCCCCAGCAGAGGCATACACAGGTTTTCGCGTTATGGGGAGTGGCGAGTTGAGAAAAAGGCGTCATATATATATATATATATATATATATATATATATATATATATATATATATACTAGCTGTATCTCATTGCTTCGCTACAGTGTAAAAACGCAAAGAGTAGGCCCTACTCCGTAGAAAACAAAAGAACAAAACACAATGTAGGCCGACAACACAAAATAACTTATCACACAAAACAAACAAAAACACTATATATACACACAATACAACAAACAACAATAAACGCAACACAATCTCTTTTGTAAACCTAGTAAAAAACAAGTTAATAAAAAGTCTAGTGACAATTTAAGCGCAATTTCCTTATGTTATCCATAACAATTTTTAATTTTTTGTGACCGAACGAAAGGATATTTTTTCCTACACGATGCTCAGTTTAAATTAAAAATATCATCCTAGGCCTACACGATGCTCAGTTTAAAAATTCTTAATTAATTTTTTGTGACCGAACGAAAGGATATTTTTGAAAACTTTCTTCGGCAATATTGTCCTAAATTATGGCAGGAATGGATTGGTAAATGTTTCAAGTCGCTAAGTGGTCTGGTTGCCGAGATATGGGCAAAAACTGCATTTTTTTCGAGGTTTTTTGGCTTTTCCGGGAAATCCAGAAAGGAATTCCGGGAATTTTTTTGGCCCACAATCATCATCGGAACTTGCTTAACATATTTGCTTTTGGAACTAGTCCTCGATATTGCTTCGTTGAGGAGGAGATACGACTTAAAGCTGCGGACATCCATCCATCCATACAAAAATGACGAGTTAATAAACGAAATTCTCCAGAATGGAAATTTCGCTAAAAAGTTTTACAAGAGGAGTTGATATAAAATCGTAAAAATTTTAAGTAAATTATACAGAACAATTCCGTTTAGTGTCTACAGTAGAACGAAATCATGCTACATACACTTTTGTGTGGAATGGCCACAGTAGTGAACAATAATAGTTGACTGGGTCAAATGTTCCATCTGTTGACAACTTGTTGAATGTTTCATCTGTTGACAACTTGTTGCATGTTCCATCTGTTGACAACTTGTTGCATGTTCCATCTGTTGACAACTTGTTGCGTGTTTCATCTGTTGACAACTTGTTGCATGTTCCATATGTTGACAACTTGTTGCATGTTTCATCTGTTGACAACTTGTTGAATGTTCCATATGTTGACAACTTGTTGCATGTTTCATATGTTGACAACTTGTTGCATGTTCCATCTGTTGACAACTTGTTGCGTGTTTCATCTGTTGACAACTTGTTGCGTGTTCCATCTGTTGACAACTTGTTGAATGTTCCATATGTTGACAACTTGTTGCATGTTTCATATGTTGACAACTTGTTGCATGTTCCATCTGTTGACAACTTGTTGCATGTTCCATATGTTGACAACTTGTTGAATGTTTCATCTGTTGACAACTTGTTGCATGTTCCATCTGTTGACAACTTGTTGAATGTTTCATCTGTTGACAACTTGTTGCATGTTCCATCTGTTGACAACTTGTTGAATGTTTCATCTGTTGACAACTTGTTGAATGTTTCATCTGTTGACAACTTGTTGAATGTTTCATCTGTTGACAACTTGTTGCATGTTCCATCTGTTGACAACTTGTTGCATGTTCCATCTGTTGACAACTTGTTGCATGTTCCATATCCCCAGCTGTTCCGTGTGATCACATGACATGGCAAAGTCTGCTTGCGTGAGCGCGGGTAAGTTTCTCACGTCTAACTCACTATAAGTTCATCTTGTGCGGGGGTATAAGTTTGGGCGCAGAGAACAGTGTTAGTAGAAGAGTGTTAGTAGAACGTGAGATACGGAGTGATACAGTGTGTGGACATTGAACAGGGTTAGTAGAAGAGTGTCAGTAGAACGTGAGATACGGAGTGATACATTCCCGCAACACCCAAATGTGACAGAGGTGTGACGTGTTTTTTGTGTTGTGTTCAAACCATTCCCGCAGCACCCAAATGCAACAGAGGTGTGACCAGGGGCGGAACTACCATACCGCCAGACCCCGCAATGCGGGGGGGCCCAGGACGTTTAGGGGCCCAGTTCCGACCAAAAAACAATGCATTTTTGTTTTCAAAAATTATGTTTTCATGCATCTTGAAAGTGGTTTTGTAAAAAAAAAACAGGTCTACTATAGTAGAGATTGTTGCGTAGAAAAATATTTTAAAATCTACAAGAGCTATAGTTTGAAAGGTAGGTAAACATTCACACTACTTCCATGACTTACTGCCCTTCTTTAAAATAGGGATGCCCACGAAGCTCATTTAAATAGTTTTGTACTATGTATATTAAAAAGCAATTGATTCTCTGAATTGTTACTTAAATAAGACGTACTATACAATAGTATAGTATAAAAATTAATGTTTTCAAAATTGATATTATAAAAGCCAAAAAGGAAAAAAAATAAACATAACGCGAGAAACCATTCACGAATCAAGCTAACGTCTTTATATATTTTTGACCAGCAGATTGAATACATCCCGCTATGTTCGCAATAAGTTTGGACTAAAATTTTTCTGTTTTGTTCTCTCAGAATGGTTATATATTGCAATGAGGTAGACTAAATTACTCAGTTAGGATATAGATCATATATATATATATATATATATATATATACATATATATATATATATAAATATATATATATATATATATATATATATATATATATATATATATATATATATATATATATATATATATATATATATATATATATATATATATATATATATATAGGGGGCCCTAGATTTTTCTTTGCGGGGGAGCCTTTGATTTCTAGTTCCGCCACTGGGTGTGACGTGTTTTTTGTGTTGTGTTCAAACCATTCCCGCAACACCCAAATGTGACAGACGTGTGACGTGTTTTTTGTGTTGTGTTCAAACCATTCCCGCAGCACCCAAATGCAACAGAGGTGTGACGTGTTTTTTGTGTTGTGTTCAAACCATTCCCGCAACACCCAAATGTGACAGACGTGTGACGTGTTTTTTGTGTTGTGTTCAAACCATTCCCGCAGCACCCAAATGCAACAGAGGTGTGACGTGTTTTTTGTGTTGTGTTCAAATCATTCCCGCAGCACCCAAATGCAACAGATGTGTGACGTGTTTTTTTGGTGTGTTCAAACCATTCCCGCAACACCCAAATGCAACAGAGGTGTGACGTGTTTTTACAAGCTTTTATTTAACTCACTTCCTCTGTCTGTCGTAAGTCGTCAGTCGTCAGTCTAGACGGAAACGCAGGAGTGAAAATTCGGACAGTTCTACTTGACCGATACGATTCACATTTGGCACGTGGGTCAAGACATGAAGACAATGCAATCTGATACTAAATTTGACTTAATTGGATGCCTAATTGATTTTTTATGAATTAATTAAAATTTGGACCGAATTAGTAGGCATGTCTAGCCAACCACACCACACGCGTCATCAATAGCTGCGCCATCACGACCACGTAATGGCTGCGTTCAAAAACCATTGCGCGCCTACTGAACGTGATATTCAGTAGGCGCGCAATGGTTTTTAGTCATGTAACTCTATTGTAGATAAAACATGTAAAGTACTGTAAAAAAAATTCATAAAAAACGTTTTAATAACAAGCTTTTATGTAATGATGCACTAAAAAGTAGAAAATAAATTATAGACTACTATTTAAATAACTATAAAGAAAAGCGTGGGTGTCTTCCTTAACATTAGTAAAGGTATCCAATAGATACTAAAGTGACCCACGCTTTTCTTTATAGTTATTTAAATAGTAGTCTATAATTTATTTTCTACTTTTTAGTGCATCATTACATAAAAGCTTGTTATTAAAACGTTTTTTATGAATTTTTTTTTTTGTGTTGTGTTCAAACCATTCCCGCAGCACCCAACAGAGGTTGGGTGCTGCCACCGGTCTGTAGGGATTCGTCCACTGCTTAAGAATTCCCGCCGCTAGGCTGTGGACAGCCCATTCGGCACTGACATATCTAGTTCATATACAGACACACACTCTGGCTGCAGGTTCGAGATGACAGCATCTTATTTCTTGATGAATGATCGCACGGTTCCAATCAACAAGCCTCCAATGTCACAGGTCTCCTTACATTTAAGTCTTGTTACACCCATGGTGGACTATACGGGGGGAGGGGGCGCACAGGCCTTATGTTGTATGCTGCTGGTTCTGTATCGTTGTATGTTATATGCTGCTGTTTGTATGTGCCTACAGCCGAGTGTGGAGGAAGCTGCCCAATACACAGGACATATGACGTCTATAAAACTGATATAAGTGAGGAGGACCAATATGAAACTCTTGTTCAGGTAGGGAAACTCAAGTTTCTTGATCAGGTAGAGAAACTCAATTTTCTTGATCAGGTAGGAAAACTCAAGTTTTTTGATCAGGTAGGAAAACTCAAGTTTTTTGATCAGGTAGGAAAACTCAAGTTTCTTGATCAGGTAGGAAAACTCAAGTTTCTTGATTAGGTAGGAAAACTCAAGTTTCTTGATCAGGTAGGAAAACTCAAGTTTCTTGATCAGGTAGGGAAACTCAAGTTTCTTGATCAGGTAGGAAAACTCAAGTTTCTTGATTAGGTAGGAAAACTCAAGTTTCTTGATCAGGTAGGAAAACTCAAGTTTCCATATCAGGTAGGAAAACTCAAGTTTCTTGATCAGGTAGGAAAACTCAAGTTTCTTGATCAGGTATGAAAACTCAAGTTTCTTGATCAGGTAGGAAAACTCAAGTTTCTTGATCAGGTAGGAAAACTCAAGTTTCTTGATCAGGTAGGAAAACTCAAGTTTCTTGATCAGGTAGGAAAACTCAAGTTTCTTGATCAGGTAGGAAAACTCAAGTTTCTTGATCAGGTAGGAAAACTCAAGTTTCTTGATCAGGTAGGAAAACTCAAGTTTCTTGATCAGGTAGGAAAAGTCAAGTATCTTGATCAGGTAAGAAAACTCAAGTTTCTTGATCAGGTAGGAAAACTCAAGTTTCTTGAAACATAATAAGTAAGAGATGACGTCACCCTTTGCCCCACAGGTCCGAAGTGTGGAGACGAGACTCGCGAGCCTGGAGGAGAGCCAGAGGGGTCAGGTGACCGAGGTCAAGCAGGCGTGTGACAGCGTCCTGGCAGAGCTCCGCCTACTACACGAGTCCTTCGCGGAGCTGCGCACCATCGTGTTGGACTCTGTGGACAGTCAGGACAAGTTCGCGGCGGGCATACGCGAGCAGTTCCAGCAGACCAGCAGACGGCTGGGTGACCGTCTGGAGGGCGTGGAGAGGCGGCTCCGGGCCAATGGTGCCGGCGTGACGTCACACAGCAGCAGTCCCACCCTGTCTGAGACAAACCTCTACACCCACGACCCAACAAACCCGGACAAAAAGAAACTGAAAAAAAAAACGTTGGCCGAAAAACTTCCCAATCTGTAAACAATGTTTATATTTCTGTGAACTAATTTAATGACATAAAAAAGTCACTTTTGATTCAGTTTTTTTTAAAAATTGACTTTCGTTTGTGTTCAAGTCTAGCTGTTGAACTACGTTTCACGCTCTAAAATTTTGTTTAAAAGATATATACATACATACATATATATATATATATATTTATATGTATATATATATATATATATATATATATATATATATATATATATATATATATATATATATATATATATATATATATATATATATATATATATATATATAAATGTATATCTTATTTGCGAATTACATTCTTATGTCAGGAGCATAGCAAACTTTTGGTCGGTTTTCCGTCAGTCGGGCTGCCACCCATTTAAAGCAAATATTTTCAGTGGCAGCATTGGTACTGTCGAACTCAAACATTATGAATTACTGAAAAGTAGAAAAGAAAACATAAATAGCGGCGTATGATACGCCGCGGGTCGGCTCGTTCTTATATAAAACAACAGCGGATGGGAACTCGGGATATAGAAATGATTTTTAATCCATTTTAAATACTTAAACTTTCTAAAATATAATAAAATCTCATAGAAAAAAGAATAGCACACCAAGTGAACGCCAAATAAAATGTGCATAATAGTGCGGGATATTATTAGTACTTTATAAAATTACATTCGTTTTTTGAGAAACCGGAAATAGCGTAAATTACTACTTCCGGTCAACGGAAAATATTCAAAATTTGACAGAAGGTAGAGAATTAGATCTTATACTTACATGTGAAATTTCATTTATCTATCTGAAATAGTACTCTAGTTATAGGCTTTTAAAAAATTCAAAGTAGAAAAAGTACTATTTCCAATTATTGGAAATCGCTCAAAAGTTGATACGGATCTACGATTTTGATATAATACTTATATATGAAATTTCATCAATGTAGCTGTAACGGTACTCAAGTTATCGTGTTTACAGACACACACAGATACACACACGCATACACACAGACATACGGGCAAGATTGCAAAACTATGTTTTTCGACACAGGGAGGTGTAAAACGTCGAGATCTGCAAAAATCTCTTTTTTTTTTTTGCACGATTACAAGACTTTCTCGATAGCCTACTTCGTATATTCGAGAAAGTAAAAAATACTAAAAATGGCTAGTAAAATCTAATAAAATATTGTCTACATATACGAAAAGATTTTATTTTTATTTTATATTTAAAAGAGTAATGTTTTATAGAATCTAATTTTTAATATATTAAATAGAGTAAGGTTTTGTAGTATTTAAATTTAGTAGAGAAATATTTTGTTAAAACTTAGTTACATGGAGGCTAAAGAAAGACAACTCTACAGTTTTAAGTCGCATAATTGTTTTGTATTTGTTATGTCCCTTGTTGAAAACCCCAGTGATGTGCCCTCCAGTACCAAAGCTTGCGTGTCGGAAGATGTCTGCTACACGATTAACATAAAAGGACTTTATGTCCACATAAGGTCTACTTGATGTATACATAACATTTTTATGTTAGTACAAACCCACCCCGTGCTATATTACCTGCCCTACCCCCCCAGGCCTATATTACCTACCCCACCCCCACCCCGGCCTATATTACCTACCCCACCCCCCGGCCTATATTACCTACCCCACCCCCGGCCTATATTACCTACCCCACCCCCCGGCCTATATTACCTGCCCCCCCCCCCCCCACCCCCAGGCCTATATTACCTGCCCCCCCACCCCCAGGCCTATATTACCTACCCCACCCCCAGGCCTATATTACCTACCCCACCCCCCGGCCTATATTACCTGCCCCCCACCCCCCGGCCTATATTACCTACCCCACCCCCACCCCGGCCTATATTACCTACCCCACCCCCCGGCCTATATTACCTGCCCCCCCACCCCCAGGCCTATATTACCTGCCCCCCCACCCCCAGGCCTATATTACCTGCCCCCCCCCACCCCCAGGCCTATATTACCTGCCCCCCACCCCCCGGCCTATATTACCTACCCCACCCCCACCCCGGCCTATATTACCTACCCCCCGGCCTATATTACCTACCCCACCCCCACCCCCACACCCCGGGCCTATATTACCTACCCCACCCCGGGCCTATATTACCTGCCCCACCCCCACACCCCGGGCCTATATTACCTACCCCATCCCAGGCCTATATTACCTACCCCACCCCGGGCCTATATTACCTGCCCTACCCCCCCGGCCTATATTACCTGCCCCCCCACCCCCCGGCCTATATTACCTACCCCACCCCCACCCCGGCCTATATTACCTGCCCCACCCCGGGCCTATATTACCTACCCCACCCCCACCCCGGCCTATATTACCTACCCCACCCCGGGCCTATATTACCTGCCCCACCCCCACACCCCGGGCCTATATTACCTACCCCATCCCAGGCCTATATTACCTACCCCACCCCGGGCCTATATTACCTGCCCTACCCCCCGGCCTATATTACCTGCCCCCCCCACCCCCCGGCCTATATTACCTACCCCACCCCCACCCCGGCCTATATTACCTACCCCACCCCACCCCGGCCTATATTACCTGCCCCCCACCCCCAGGCCTATATTACCTGCCCCCCCCACCCCCAGGCCTATATTACCTGCCCCCCCCCCACCCCCCGGCCTATATTACCTACCCCACCCCCCGGCCTATATTACCTGCCCCCCCCACCCCCCGGCCTATATTACCTACCATAGCCCCACCCCGGCCTATATTACCTACCCCACCCCCCGGCCTATATTACCTGCCCCCCCACCCCCCGGCCTATATTACCTACCATACCCCCACCCCGGCCTATATTACCTACCCCACCCCGGGCCTATATTACCTGCCCCACCCCCAGGCCTATATTACCCACCCCCCACCCAGGCCTATATTACCTACCCCACCCGGGCCTATATTACCTACCCCACCCCCCGGCCTATATTACCTGCCCCCCCCCCCACCCCCAGGCCTATATTACCTGCCCCCCCCCCCCACCCCCAGGCCTATATTACCTGTCCCACCCCCCGGCCTATATTACCTACCCCACCCCCGGCCTATATTACCTACCCCACCCCCACACCCCGGCCTATATTACCTGCCCCCCCCCCCCCACCACAGGCCTATATTACCTACCCCACCCCCAGGCCTATATTACCTACCCCACCCCAGGCCTATATTACCTACCCCACCCCGGGCCTATATTACCTACCCCACCCCCGGCCTATATTACCTACCCCACCCCCACCCCGGCCTATATTACCTGCCCCACCCCCAGGCTTATTTTACCTACCCCACCCCCCGGCCTATATTACCTACCCCACCCCGGCCTATATTACCTGCCCCCCCCCCCACACCCCGGCCTATATTACCTGTCCCACCCCCGGGCCTATGTTACCTGCCCCCCCCCCCCACCCAGGCCTATATTACCTACCCCACCCCCGGCCTATATTACCTACCCCACCCCCCGGCCTATGTTACCTGCCCCCACACCCCGGCCTATATTACCTGCCCCCCGGCCTATATTACCTGCCCCACCCCCCGGCCTATATTACCTGCCCCCCTATATTACATGCCCCCCCCCCCCCCCTCCGCGGCCTATATTACCTGGAAATGGAAGGCCGTCTGGATGCTGTTATTAAAAAAGTTGAACCTGTCATTTAGCAACAAAACAACCAAACTGCGTGTCATGGTCCCCCTACCCTGGTCCAATAGACCAGCGTGAAATGAATACCTGGAGTCAAGGAACGCACCAACAGTTAGCGCTCTCAGTCGTCGGCTGGGTTTACCGTCTGCTAGACGAGGCGGGGTCTGTCAGGTTCAAGTGTTTCGCCATCTCTAGTGTTCCGGCATCAGTTGTGGCGTCTAGCGGTGAAGTGGTCAGCCGGCAGTTTTGTGGTCAGCCGGCAGTTTTGTGGACAGCCGGCAATTTTGTGGACAGCCGGCAGTTTTGTGGACAGCCGGCAGTTTTGTGGTCAGCCGGCAGTTTTGTGGACAGCCGGCAGTTTTGTGTCGTCGTGAGCCGGCAGTTTTGTGTCGTCGTGAGCCGGCAGTTTTGTGGGGAGCCGGCAGTTTTGTGTCGTCGTGAGCCGGCAGTTTTGCTGCGACGAGAACCTCTAGGACTATCTCACTTGCCTATTTTCGAACTGTGAATTTGTCACTTACCAACCCGGAAGTTGTTGCCGCGCACTTCACGGAATTCTGGGAACTCGGGTCACGTCTGCTAGATTAAAACTCTGGCAGACGACGCAGATGTTTCACAAAAAGAGTTTCGTCAGTACAAGTAAGTTTGTGTTGGTAGTGGCATTAGTGGCGTCTGACTGCTTGACGGAGAGTGACCACACTCTTGACATGGACAAATCGTGGTGTGTGTGTGTTGACCACACTATCATTCTTGACATGGACAAATCGCGGTGTGTGTGTGTGTGTGTTGACCACACTATCATTCTTGACATGGACAAATCGCGGTGTGTGTGTGTGTGTGTGTGTTGACCACACTATCATTCTTGACATGGACAAATCGCGGTGTGTGTGTGTGTGTGTTGACCACATTCTTGACATGGACAAATCGCGGTGTGTGTGTGTGTGTGTGTTGACCACATTCTTGACATGGACAAATCGCGGTGTGTGTGTGTGTGTGTTGACCACATTCTTGACATGGACAAATCGCGGTGTGTGTGTGTGTGTTGACCACATTCTTGACATGGACAAATCGCGGTGTGTGTGTGTGTGTGTGTTGACCACATTCTTGACATGGACAAATCGCGGTGTGTGTGTGTGTGTGTCTCTGTTGACTGATATGACACTTTAAACCTTTTAGACCTAACGAATTATATTAGAACATGTGTACACATATTCCTAATTATATTAGAACATGTGTACACATATTCCTAACGAATAATATTAGAACATGTGTACACATATTCCTAACGAATTATATTAGAACATGTGTACACATATTCCTAATTATATTAGAACATGTGTACACATATTCCTAACGAATAATATTAGAACATGTGTACACATATTCCTAACGAATAATATTAGAACATGTGTACACATATTCCTAAC